GGCAGAGGCACGATGGATCCATTTCTCAACCTCTTGATCATCCCGATAAGTGTCGACTACTCCAAGGACCCGGACCTTGTGCATAGTAGAAAAAGCATCCCTTCACTTCTGCTCCAGGGAACTCGATCTGGACAGCACTGACAGCTGCCATCTCAAAATCTGTCGGGATCGTTTCTGGAGACTGGTTGGTTTAGTATGCGTTGAACATGATTATACAAATCATCCGTACTAAATTGTCTGACAAATGGAGTATCTAACATATGCGGTATTTGACAAATGGGGTATCACCCGCGCATCAGTGCCCAGGACACCAAACGAAAATGTGAAGGTATTAGAAGCGATAAACAGAGCAATTAGCGATACCGAATTAACTTATGGCTTTGACGGCGTTTCTCTTAACCCTACTTCTACCTTGTAGATTATAAAAGTACAAATAAACAGAGTTTAAAGATCAAAGTCAGATGAAGTTAGAACGAAATAAGATCAAATTTGAGAACATCTTGTCACTAGCTTCCGGAAAGTGCCACCCAAACATCTTGGAACATGTGTCGGTTATCAAGAGAGAGCAGCCCGCAGTTGAAGCCAGGGTGGATCAGGTGTTTGGTAACCGCCGTGTTCCACCGAGGATGGAAAAGTACAGGGGCAGGATCGCAGGCTCTCCGACCTGAAAACTCAGTTCCGACAACAAACCCTGACAACTCTGGACTACCTTGACTCTGACAGACACATGGTCAATTTAGACTGGTGACTTTAGTGTGCTTAAACTATCCAAGTGATGTCGTTTATCTATACATTTGTTACATTAGTTAATTTAGTTCTATTAACCGGCGACACTGCAGTGAAAGCCAGATGAGTAGGAAAAGAGTGAGAGAGTTAGTTGGGTTTAACGCCGCTTTTAACAATATTCCAGTTAGATGTGGGAGGAAAGCCCGGAGTGATGCAGGGGCGAACCTGGATTCGAACACACAATCATAGGTTTCTGGCGTGCCGAAGGGACGCAACTCTGCCTTAGGCGACTGGGCCACCCGTTTCCCCCAAGTAGGAAAAGAAGAGACCTGGGATAAATTTCTTCTTACGGGTTTTCTAGTTGACCAACTTCTTGTTGTTGTTGCCTTAAGTGTTTACGAGGTCGCCTTCTGCCTTAGCAATTTCGGCTGACCTGTCCCTCTTTGGGACTCGTGTGTGAGTAGGGTACACATATTTATTGCGAGTTTTGGTATTCGTAGTATTTCTGTTTTTGTATTGATATGATTTCTATTTTCGTATTTTGATATTATTTCAATTTTTATCTTTGGCTGCTCTGTTTATATGCGTTCAAGTAGCTGTCCACCTCTCAGAAATAGAGTTAGTTTGGCCTTCATTATTGCATCTCTTGGCTCAGGGCTGGAGTTTTTTTCGGATTGTGAAATATCTCCGTGTTTTAGTCATTGTGCTCCGTCATCAGCGAATTTAGATCTTTGGGTAGGAAAGTTGATATGATCAAAAAGATTATTGATCATGGTGCTAAACAGGGTTGGGCTTATAATGCTGACTTGTGGCGTGCCATTGTCCAATGACAATGCGACTTGCGTGCCATATAAATTCAATCATCTACCTCACATTCCGTATCATGGTTACACACACGTACATTGCTAAAATATGATTGTTAAATAATACTCATGAGGTTTACAATTTTAACTTTAATCTAATCCTAATTAAACATTAAATAGGTTTTATCATCGCTTCTCCAGAACACACCTTTGATGTTTATTATCTGGTTACCCTAACAATGGCGACATAACACAATATCATGTTATTGTTAACAGAGCAATTAGTTTTTGGTGCGGATTAGTACTTCCAGTTGTCTGTTAATTACTCCACTGAGTAGTGAAGGTTTAGTCGGTAGTGTGTTTATAACCAAAACTGACTGCTATTCCACTTACCAAGCCAAAATTGTTATGTAAACTTTTTCTGGGGACCAAGAAAATGTATCTAGGAAACAGGTTGTTCTGCTTAAAGGGTTCTGCTTATCGGGTATCAAATACTAGTACTTATATTGTGAGCTTTCAGGGACCAAAGGGAAGTCTCCACATAAGAAGTTGTTCCACTTAAAATGTTTCTACTTTGCGAGAATTCATTGTATTTGTCTGTCTTGCTTTCTTTACACAGCACCGAACTGTCGAAAGTACCTGGTGCAATGATTCTATATCGACACCGAACTGTCGAAAATGCCTGGTGCAATGATCCTATATCGACACCAAACTGTCGAAAGTACCTGGTGCAATGATCCTATAACGACACCGACCTGTCGAAAATGCCTGATGCAATGATCTTATATCGACACCGAACTGTCGAAAATGTCTGGTGCAATGATCCTATATCGACACCAAACTGTCGAAAGTACCTGGTGCAATGATCCTATATCGACACCGAACTGTCGAAAGTACCTGGTGCAATGATCCTATGTCGACACCAAACTGTCGAAAGTACCTGGTGCAATGATCCTATATCGACACCAAACTGTCGAAAGTACCTGGTGCATACAATGATCCTATATCGACACCAAACTGTCGAAAATGCCTGGTGCAATGATCCTATATCGACACCGAACTGTCGAAAATGCCTTGTGCAATGATCCTATATCGACACCAAACTGTCGAAAATACCTGGTGCAATGATCTTATATCGACACCGGACTCTCGAAAATACCTGGTGCAATGACCCTATATCGACACCGAACTGTCGAAAATGCCTTGTGCAATGATCCTATATCGACACCGAAGTGTCGAAAATACCTGGTGCAATGACCCTATATCTTCACCAAACTGTCGAAAGTACCTGGTACAATGATCCTATATCGACACCGAACTGTCGAATATACTACATTTACCTCTGTGTTAGATTTTCGACACTTCAGGCCGACTACCTCCGAAGTTTGCCGGTCCTTCCGCTTCACAATGAGGACACATTTTCAAAAACCTTGAGAATTGAAATTTTACACACTGGTGTTACTGGTCATGAAAATTAGTGCCTCAAATTCATTTTTTTGCAGAGTTATGGCCCTTGCTCCGTACTTAGTGCATATACTGTGTGGAATGGGGACATGTTATTTATCACATATATCTGATTTCTTTTGGTCATTGTTTATGTCAATATATTTATCTTTTCATCAGTTAACTCGTGTTATATCTTGTGTAGTAGTTTCAGGACACAATCAGACAGAACCTTTTTTTTAATATAACTGGTAAGTGGCAGAGTATTAGAGCTGTGCACTGGACCATTAAGAAAGCTGTTTTAGATTGTAAAGAAATTGGGATGATACCGTTGATGTTGTTAGGGTATACATACTTCATCTTCTGATAAAATCCACTGATTAGCACATTACCAGTTAAACATCTGGCTTCTACTACCATGGTTACGAGAACAAAATTATGTATTTAGTTTTGTACACACTGCAAATGCGTCTGTTCACCTCTTTACGGAACTCACCACTGAGAGAACAATTAGTAATAACAACACTTACAATAAATTCGTTTCACTATTGTTTATGTTCAATGTGTTTACTTCAAAACAGAAAGAATTTGAAGAGAGAAAAAGAATAAATAAAATATATAGTACATTGCCGTTCACCAAATCCATTCCTGAATGAAGCTTAACTAACCATGCATATCTTCCATTACCATTCCACAGCTGTATAGCATCTAGTACAAATGATTATTTATTGAAAGGTGAGGATCCTCCATTTTTTGCATCCCTTGTGATGAGAGAATGACCGTCAAGCATGTCCTGCTTGAGTGTTGATTTTCCATCACAAGTTCTCGTCACGATACGGATGAAATATTGCCGATGTGACGTTAAATTCTAACTCACTCAATCACTGTAGTTCTTATATTACTATCTTGAGGCTGTTATTTCTAATGAGGCTGCTCGTACGGATAAAACACACACAGCAGGCCCACAAAACAAACGAGACTCGTGTCAGGTTTGTAATGAGGTGCAAATCCGTACAAACAGAGACAGAATATCGGTTTATGGTCTCTGCTACAATTACCGTATTCGACGTAATAAGCGCCCACGGCGATACTTACTAATATATTGGCTAGTGAACAATCCTGATTAGCACCCCTTCCGATTGATCAATGTACACAAGACTTATTTATTCGTGTATGAAACGCACCCTTAATTATGGGCAATTCAATTCTCGAAAATATGTCTATCGTGTATAATACGCACATATTCTTCTGTTATATCATTTTAGGCTGTCAGGATAAACCACAAAATTTACAATCTTTCAACTCTGTTTTTTATCTCACCAACATTATATTCTAATAAGAGCCCCCTATTTCTAATTTTGAGAGCGCCCTGGGCACTTATTACGTCGAATACGGTAATTATTTCGGGTTGGACCTGGGGTTCAGTGTCAGTGAAGACCTTTTCTGTTCATCGCCATATACTTATCTGAAAACGACTTAAAACTTTAAACGCCTATCTGGAATTTTTGGGCATGAATTGATATCGGCTCGGCCCAAGGCATACATGATCTTCTAGAATTTAGATGTACTAACCAGTTGCTAGCATTCTCCATTTCATGTTGCGTTCAATCTTACGTTTCATCTATTTCATTTTGTTTGTTTATTTGTTGTTTGATGTTTAACGCCGCACTCAGCAATATTCCAGCTATTTGACGACGGTCTGTAAATAATCGTGTCTGGACCAAACAATCCAGTGTTTGATATCATGAGCATCGATATATATGTATGTATGGGCTTACATCATGTCGGATGGGTCAGTCTTCTGTATGTATATAAATAAATTAAAACATTGTAGGGGACTTTACGACATTGATTGGACTCGTGCACATGTAAGTGATCCATGTCGTAAAATCCCCAACAAATTGTTTTTAGCTAAAGTATATACATATATCTGATTTCCAACTTATGATATAATACTATGGCGCATTTACAACGTGTCACTTCAGGAAATGAAAACGCTTCAAGTGTTTACAACAGTCTAGTCTATTTATGGCAAACCCACGATTCAAGATGGCTGCGCCCATGAGAACGTGATATCGTGTAAACTGTCTGCACGGTATGTGCTACAGTATTGATTGTTCAAGTTGGTAAGTCACATGCAAACATCATGAAAGAACACTGATTACATTCAGGATATAACTGTCAATTGAAATGGCACTTGACGTAAAGCACACGTCGAATGATCGCGGCTTCAATTTGTTTAGTCAGCTACTTTCTCTTTCTTATGGTTACAGTGTCACCTGTTTTCGTGGGTACATATTTTGGCACACGCACATATTGGCTTACATTTATATACCCATACATTTGTGGACATCAAATACACATGCATTCATGAAAGTTTGTAGTTTTTTTTATGTTTTCCTTCAAAAATGCAATTTGAAGATATAATGCCGCATAATCATGATCTCTATTGTAATAATATGGGTCTTACCTCACAATGCGCATCAAATCACTTGAACATCTTGATTAAAAACATGAAAAACATTGCAAATCCTGCAGTCGACCGAAATTTGCAAGTTGAAACCATGTTGTTTACAAACAGGATGTCTGATTGGACTATGGAAAGACTCATTAATCCAGGCAAAATGTAACCCCCGGAATTCCAGCCTAGTTCGGCTAGGGTGGAAACTGGACTTTTATGTACAGTTAATGGCCTTGCCTCCGGAAGATGCTCTGTATGGTGGAAAAAACATACAGAAACACTACAAAAACAACTACAAGCACCAATGATGTTAATCTGTTAAATTGTATAACTTGCATAAGATCATGAAGGTGCAATCCACAATCTCAAGGTTTGTTGACTTCCCTTTGCATGCTTAGTGAACAAATTCTGCTTTCTGGTCAAGATATTCAGCATCTGTGTACTCATGCATCTTATGAATTCAGCTTCCTGTTCGACACCCTCTCTAATATCAATTATATCTGTTAATTTGTTTGATGTTTTGTAATGTAATTTTTTCATGATGAGAATGAAATAATTACACATCATCGATGTGAAAACTCTGACAATGGATGCTAATGTATATAGTGATAACCCTGTGAAATATTCCTTGATTGAGCCGACATGCTGTGTTATAACTGAAATACGGTTCAAAGTGGTGTTAAACCCAACAAATTCATTGTAAAGTTTGAATGGAACTAACAGTGATGAATTTTGTTTGCTTTACTCACATCACTTGGACCATTCATCATGTTGAGATACAGTTTAACATTGTTTACACAACACTTGCAAAAATACCCATGTAAAATGTAAATATGATTTTACAGCAGATCGGCTTCCCCGAGGTTACTGGAAACTTGAGAAGATGCAGACGCCTGAAATGAAATTTGATCTCGTCCAAACTGGTTGTCATGGAGGTGTGGAAGTCGTCCCGGTAGAAACCACAGATCACCAGTGTGTTTTGCCTCGAAAGACTGTAAGCCATAGAGAACTGAGTAATTTATTAAAGGGAGTCTTCATCATCCAAAACTAACTGTGCCTGTCAACTGTAATATGATGGTGTTGATCAATCTAGCAGTTAACATGGTTAATGATTATTCTGCTCATAATGGGGGCGGTCGGGTAGCCTAGTGGTTTAAGCATTCGCTCGTCATTGGTTCGATGCCCGACATGGGTACAATCTGTGAAGCCCAATTTTGGTGTCCCCTGCCGTGATATTGCTGGAATATTGCTAAAAGCGGCATAAAACCATACTCACTCACTCACTGCTCATAATGTGCTTCAACAAAGCAGGAATGTGTCGATCAACAGAGTGCACATTTATTGATTGTGTAAAATCTATAACAAACATGAAAAATAACAATTTACCAGCTGATTTACACAATTGCTTTTTCTCAATTGAAAGATAATTTTGTAGGTTTGTGATTGTAGACTCACTGGGTCAAATGTGGAGCCTATTCTTCAACTGCCATGATGTGGCGGGAATGTTGCTAAAAGTGACCTAACCCAAACACCATACTTCCCTCCCTCATCCACCCACCAAATAACCTAACCACCCACTCACCCATCCGTTTACCCACCCACTCGTCTTCAGCAACCCATGTTTGCCATAAAAGGCAACTACACTTGTTGTAAGAGGCGACTAAGGGGATCGGGTGGTCAGGCTTGGCGACTTGGTTGGTGCATGTCATCGTATCCAAATTGCGTGGATCGTGCTGTGTCTATCACTGGATTGTCTGGTCAAGACTTGATTATTTACAGACCCCTGTCATATAAGTGGAATATTGCTGAGTGTGGTGTTAAACAACAAACAAACAAACAAAACCCACCCATTCAGGCTCACTCACCCACCACTCACCCACCCCCTATGTGTGTATTCCAGCTGCCTTGTGGGCTGCCGCCCGTACTGCCAACCCTACAAGAAGAGCTGGAGCACTACCTCACTTGTCCTGAAAAGCTGCCAGTTCATGACGTCCTCCGATCTCAGCAGTAAGTATAACACAGAATCAGTGAGGGTTTGGTATTTACACTATCACACCTTCAGCATGTTTAGCATCAGTTAGTGTGGTGGAAATATAGACATTTTCTAGGTATGTCAAGATGTATCAGCTGATTATAATGTAACAGGAAGAACTGACGAATGTGAGAGTTAGTTGTCCTTTATTACTCTGGGGAAACTTTCAAACATGGATATGGTTCTGAAAGATCATGGATCATAACATGGCAACTGGGTAATATTTATATACTAAACTCACAGTTGTGCAGGACCGCCTCCATGGTCTAGTGATAGAGCGTCCGCCCAGAGAGCGGAAGGTCTGGGGTTCAATGCCCGACCGCGTCATACCAAAAGACGTTAAAAGATGGTACTTGTTGTTACCCTGTCTGGCGCTCGGCATTAAAGGGCTAAAACAAGGACAGTTCGGCTCGGAGTCAGTATATTGTGTCTGAGTGGGGTATTCATGTTTAACTGCGGCATGGTATCTCAGTGTGCTAGCACTATAAATCGGCATCAGTCCGGACTAGTACAAGCAGCCACACACACACATACACGTGCATGCACGTCGCTATATAAGTGCAATAATCTTGGACGCGACAGTAAACCCAATTTCACCTCACCTCACCTCACCTCACCTCACCTCACCTCACCTCACCTCACCTCACCTCACCTCACCTCACCTCACCTCACCTCACCTCACCTCACCATTTTGCAGGTTATGGAAGCCAGGATTCACACAAACTTGAGAAGTGCTTCAGTTAAACCCTGTTGTTTCAAAGCCATTTCTCAACAGCTGGAATTGTATTTCGACTTCAGCAATCTTTATTAACCATAGAAGCATAGTGACACAGCTCTGTACATCAAATTTCCTATTCTTATACACTGTCACTATGTTATTTGAAAAATGGCCATTTAGCTTTGAAACTAAGGAAGCTTATCATGTCATGCTCATTTACACTGGGAGATTTAGTATATCAGGAATATCCAAATTGCTGCAGATGTGACAGGATTGTATGGAATTGGTACAAGGATATATATCATTTCAGGTTCTGGCCAAGAGAAAGAAAACCTGAACGTTTGTTGTCAATAGATGTTTGTCCAGTACAGACCACCATACAAGTAGAACGGAATGCTACGACAGGACAGCTCCTGGGGTACAAGGAGGTGAGTGAATATGTCCAGTACACACCACCATACAAGTAGAGGAAGGCCACGAGAGGACAGCTCCTGGGGTACAAGGAGGTGAGTGAATATGTCCAGTACAGACCACCATACAAGTAGAACGGAAGGCCACGACAGGACAGCTCCTGGGGTACAAGGAGGTGAGTGAATATGTCAGTACAGACCACCATACAAGTAGAGGAAGGCCACGACAGGACAGCTCCTGGGATACAAGGAGGTGAGTGAATATGTCAGTACACACCACCATACAAGTAGAGGAAGGCCACGACAGGACAGCTCCTGGGGTACAAGGAGGTGAGTGAATATGTCAGTACACACCACCATACAAGTAGAGGAAGGCCACGACAGGACAGCTCCTGGGATACAAGGAGGTGAGTGAATATGTCCAGTACAGACCAGCATACAAGTAGAGGAAGGCCACGACAGGACAGCTCCTGGGATACAAGGAGGTGAGTGAATATGTCAGTACACACCACCATACAAGTAGAGGAAGGCCACGACAGGACAGCTCCTGGGGTACAAGGAGGTGAGTGAATATGTCAGTACACACCACCATACAAGTAGAGGAAGGCCACGACAGGACAGCTCCTGGGATACAAGGAGGTGAGTGAATATGTCCAGTACAGACCACCATACAAGTAGAGGAAGGCCACGACAGGACAGCTCCTGGGGTACAAGGAGGTGAGTGAATATGTCCAGTACAGACCACCATACAAGTAGAGGAAGGCCACGAGAGGACAGCTCCTGGGATACAAGGAGGTGAGTGAATATGTCCAGTACAGACCACCATACAAGTAGAGGAAGGCCACGAGAGGACAGCTCCTGGGGTACAAGGAGGTGAGTGAATATGTCCAGTACAGACCACCATACAAGTAGAGGAAGGCCACGAGAGGACAGCTCCTGGGGTACAAGGAGGTGAGTGAATATGTCCAGTACAGACCACCATACAAGTAGAGGAAGGCCACGACAGGACAGCTCCTGGTGTACAAGGAGGTGAGTGAATATGTCCAGTACAGACCACCATACAAGTAGAGGAAGGCCACGAGAGAACCCCTTAGGACAGAGGTCATTTTTGTAAAACAAATAAAGTTTAATGTTGTGGCGAAATTGATCTAGATGAAAGAAAGTATCAAATATGTTGAAGTTTAGAAGTTATACTTATGTAAATACTTGTCACATTTCAGGAATATATTCCAGACACTGGTAAAACTGCTAACAACTCTTTATCCTTGAGACGGCCCCCCGGGCCAGCGAGTCAGGATGTGAAGGGCAACACAGGGAACTACCCCTTCTGGCCAGGTGAGACCTTCCCTGGGACGGTGGGCAGGCCGGGGCTCAGTACAACAGAAGTCTCTGTGAGGCTCTGGTTATTATTCAGTTCTCTGGTAGATCCATTATATAGAGAAGGCAGGACATTGACAGGAAACTATCACAGAATGTTTGTCATGGCAATGGTTAGGCAACATTTCATATATATGTGATTGTCACAGGAGGGACTTGTGTGTGATTGTCACAGGATGGAGTTGTGTGTGAGTGTCACAGGATGGATTTGTGTGTGTGTCACAGGAGGGACTTATGTGTGATTGTCACAGAAGGCATCTATGTATGATTGTCATGGGAGGGACTTATGTGTGATCTGTGAGTGTCACAGGAGGGACTTATGTTTGATCTGTGATTGTCTCAGGAGAGACTTATGTGTGATCTATGGTTGTCACAGGAGGGACTTATGTGTGATCTATGGTTGTCACAGGAGGGACTTATGTGTGATCTGTGGTTGTCCCAGGAAAGACTAATGTGTGATCTATGGTTGTCACAGGAAGGACTTATGTGTGATCTATGGTTGTCACAGGAGGGACTTATGTGTGATCTATGGTTGTCACAGGAGGGACTTATGTGTGATCTATGGTTGTCACAGGAGGCCTGGATGAGCCTGAGCTGGAGGCTGTGGAAGGTGGAGTTGAAACTGCTGTTGTGGAGTTTGAGAAAGGTAATGGAGTTATATTTAATTAAAATATATGCAAGATTTGCCACAAGGTGTGGTTCAAGTAATATTCTGTAGACGTAAACTGAATGGACCAGTCAGTAATATCACTGAGGGGCTTGTGATTTTATACATTCACCACCCTATGAATCATTGCTCCTTCCGTAGTCATAAATATACAGCTCATGGTATCCAAACACTCAATCTCCACTTGTGTTTCTAGATTTGCACATTCACTCACTCACTCAATCTGCACTTGTGCTTCTAGATTTCCACATTCCATCACTGACTCAATCTCCACTTGTGTTTCTAGATTTACACATTCACTCACTCAATCTCCACTTGTGCTTCTAGATTTGCACATTCACTCACTCACTCAATCTCCATTTGTGTTTCTAGATTTACACATTCACTCACTCAATCTCCATTTGTGCTTCTAGATTTACACATTCACTCACTCAATCTCCACTTGTGCTTCTAGATTTACACATTCACTCACTCACTCAATCTCCACTTGTGCTTCTAGATTTGCACTTTCACTCACTCACTCAATCTCCACTTGTGCTTCTAGATTTACACATTCACTCACTCACTCAATCTCCACTTGTGTTTCTAGATTTACACATTCACTCACTCACTCAATCTCCACTTGTGTTTCTAGATTTACACATTCACTCACTCAATCTCCACTTGTGCTTCTAGATTTACACATTCACTCACTCACTCAATCTCCACTTGTGCTTCTAGATTTACACATTCACTCACTCACTCAATCTCCACTTGTGCTTCTAGATTTACACATTCACTCACTCACTCAATCTCCTTTTGTGTTTCTAGATTTACACATTCACTCACTCACTCAATCTCCACTTGTGTTTCTAGATTTACACATTCACTCACTCAATCTCCACTTGTGCTTCTAGATTTACACATTCACTCACTCACTCAATCTCCACTTGTGCTTCTAGATTTACACATTCACTCACTCACTCAATCTCCACTTGTGCTTCTAGATTTGCACATTCACTCACTCACTCAATCTCCACTTGTGCTTCTAGATTTACACATTCATTTACTCACTCAATCTCCACTTGTTTCTAGATTTGCACATTCACTCACTCACTCAATCTCCACTTGTGTTTCTAGATTTACACATTCACTCACTCACTCAATCTCCACTTGTACTTCTAGATTTGCACATTCACTCACTCACTCACTCACTCAATCTCCACTTGTGCTTTGAGATTTACACATTCACTCACTCACTCAATCTCCACTTGTGTTTCTAGATTTACACATTCACTCACTCACTCAATCGCCACTTGTGTTTCTAGATTTACACATTCACTCACTCACTCACTCAATCTCCACTTGTACTTCTAGATTTACACATTCACTCACTCACTCAATCTCCACTTGTGCTTCTAGATTTGCACATTCACTCACTCACTCAATCTCCACTTGTGCTTCTAGATTTACACATTCATTTACTCACTCAATCTCCACTTGTTTCTAGATTTGCACATTCACTCACTCACTCAATCTCCACTTGTGTTCCTAGATTTACACATTCACTCACTCACTCAATCTCCACTTGTACTTCTAGATTTGCACATTCACTCACTCACTCACTCACTCAATCTCCACTTGTGCTTTGAGATTTACACATTCACTCACTCACTCACTCAATCTCCACTTGTGTTTCTAGATTTACACATTCACTCACTCACTCAATCGCCACTTGTGTTTCTAGATTTACACATTCACTCACTCACTCACTCAATCTCCACTTGTGTTTCTAGATTTGCTCACAGTTCCGCCAGGTATGAAGGCTGGAATGACATTTGAGACATCGGAAAAAAATACTCATAATGCTGATGTCATCAATCTGGCGGACATTTTGGCTGGCGGAGACGACCTTGACCTTGGTGACAGTGATGAAGAAACAGAACCACAGGGAAAAGAAAAGGTTTGATTACTTTACATGCTCCTCTTCTATGCAGAACAAGACTGGAATATAAGTAATAGTGGTGTAAAACCATGCTCCCTCCCTCCCTTCATCACTCCCTCCATCACTCCCCCCCTCCCTCCATCACTCCCTCCCTCCCTCAGGTGTGTTTATACTGGTTCATGGTTGTCAGGTGTGTTTAGACTGGTTCTTAGTTGTTAAGTGTGTTTAGACTGGTTCATGGCTGTCAAGTGTGTTTACACTGGTTCATGGCTGTCAAGTGTGTTTAGACTGGTTCATGGCTGTCAAGTGTGTTTAGACTGGTTCGTGGCTGTCAGGTATGTTTACACTGATTTAAGCTGTCAAGTGTGTTTATACTGGTTCATGGCTCTGAAGTGTGTTTAGACTGGTTCATGGCTGTCAGGTATGTTTACACTGGTTCATGGCTGTCAAGTGTGTTTGGACTGGTTCATGGCTGTCAAGTGTGTTTAGACTGGTTCATGGCTGTCAGGTATGTTTTAGACTGGTTCATGGCTGTCAAGTGTGTTTAGACTGGATCATGGCTGTCAAGTGTGTTTAGACTGGTTCATGGCTGTCAGGTATGTTTAGACTGGTTCATGGTTGTCAAGTGTGTTTGGACTGGTTCATGGCTGTCAAGTGTGTTTAGACTGGTTCATGGCTGTCAGGTATGTTTTAGACTGGTTCATGGTTGTCAAGTGTGTTTATACTGGTTCATGGCTGTCAAGTGTGTTTAGACTGGTTCATGGCTGTCAAGTGTGTTTAGACTGGTTCATGGCTGTCAGGTATGTTTTAGACTGGTTCATGGCTGTCAAGTGTGTTTAGACTGGTTCATGGCTGTCAGGTATGTTTTACACTGGTTCATGACTGTTAAGTGTGTTTATACTGGTTCATGGCTGTCAAGTGTGTTTATACTGGTTCATGGCTGTAAGGTGTGTTTAGACTGGTTCATGGCTGTCAGGTGTGTTTAGACTGGTTCATGGCTGTCAAGTGTGTTTACACTGGTTCATGGCTGTCAAGTGTGTTTATACTGGTTCATGGCTGTCAAGTGTGTTTAGACTGGTTCATGACTGTCAAGTGTGTTTTGACTGGTTCATGGCTGTAAGGTGTGTTTATACTGGTTCATGGCTGTCAAGTGTGTTTACAATGGTTCATGACTGTCAAGTGTGTTTTGACTGGTTCATGGCTGTCAGGTATGTTTGTACCAGTTCATGGTTGTCAAGTGTGTTTATACTGTTTCATGACTGTCAAGTGTGTTTATACTGGTTCATGGCTGTCAAGTGTGTTTATACTGTTTCATGGTTGTCAAGTGTGTTTATACTGGTTCATGGCTGTCAAGTGTGTTTATACTGGTTCATGGCTGTCAAGTGTGTTTAGACTGGTTCATGACTGTCAAGTGTGTTTTGACTGGTTCATGGCTGTAAGGTGTGTTTAGACTGGTTCATGGCTGTCAAGTGTGTTTACAATGGTTCATGACTGTCAAGTGTGTTTTGACTGGTTCATGACTGTCAAGTGTGTTTATACTGGTTCATGGCTGTCAAGTGTGTTTATACTGGTTCATGGCTGTCAAGTGTGTTTATACTGGTTCATGGCTGTCAAGTGTGTTTAGACTGGTTCATGACTGTCAAGTGTGTTTAGACTGGTTCATGGCTGTAAGGTGTGTTTAGACTGGTTCATGGCTGTCAAGTGTGTTTATACTGGTTCATGGCTGTCAAGTGTGTTTATACTGGTTCATGGCTGTCAAGTGTGTTTATACTGGTTCATGGCTGTCAAGTGTGTTTTGACTGGTTCATGACTGTCAAGTGTGTTTAGACTGGTTCACGGCTGTAAGGTGTGTTTAGACTGGTTCATGGCTGTCAAGTGTGTTTTGACTGGTTCATGACTGTCAAGTGTGTTTTGACTGGTTCATGGCTGTCAGGTATGTTTACACTGGTTCATGGCTGTCAAGTGTGTTTACACTGGTTCATGACTGTCAAGTGTGTTTTGACTGGTTCATGGCTGTCAAGTGTGTTTAGACTGGTTCATGGCTGTCAAGTGTGTTTATTCTGGTTCATGGCTGTCAGGTATGTTTTAGACTGGTTCATGGCTGTCAAGTGTGTTTATACTGGTTCATGGCTGTCAAGTGTGTTTATACTGGTTCATGGCTGTCAAGTGTGTTTATACTGGTTCATGGCTGTAAGGTGTGTTTATACTGGTTCATGGCTGTCAAGTGTGTTTATACTGGTTCATGGCTGTCAGGTATGTTTGTACCAGTTAATGGTTGTCAAGTGTGTTTATACTGTTTCATGACTGTCAAGTGTGTTTAGACTGGTTCATGACTGTCAAGTGTGTTTAGATTTGTTCATGACTGTCAAGTGTGTTTATACTTGTTCATGGCTGTCAGGTATGTTTTAGACTGGTTCATGGCTGTCAAGTGTGTTTATACTGGTTCATGGCTGTCAAGTGTGTTTGGGCTGGTTCATGGCTGTCAAGTGTGTTTATACTGTTTCATGACTGTCAAGTGTGTTTAGACTGGTTCATGGCTGTAAGGTGTGTTTATACTGGTTCATGGCTGTCAAGTGTGTTTATACTGGTTCATGGCTGTCAGGTATGTTTGTACCAGTTAATGGTTGTCAAGTGTGTTTATACTGTTTCATGACTGTCAAGTGTGTTTAGACTGGTTCATGACTGTCAAGTGTGTTTAGATTTGTTCATGACTGTCAAGTGTGTTTATACTGGTTCATGGCTGTCAGGTATGTTTTAGACTGGTTCATGGCTGTCAAGTGTGTTTATACTGGTTCATGGCTGTCAAGTGTGTTGATACTGGTTCATGACTGTCAAGTGTGTTTTGACTGGTTCATGGCTGTCAAGTGTGTTTAGACTGGTTCATGGCTGTCAAGTGTGTTTATACTGGTTCATGGCTGTCAAGTGTGTTTAGATTGGTTCATGGCTGTCAAGTGTGTTTAGACTGGTTCATGGCTGTCAAGTGTGTTTAGACTGGTTCATGACTGTCAAGTGTGTTTAGACTGGTTCACGGCTGTAAGGTGTGTTTAGACTGGTTCATGGCTGTCAAGTGTGTTTTGACTGGTTCATGGCTGTCAGGTATGTTTACACTGGTTCATGGCTGTCAAGTGTGTTTACACTGGTTCATGACTGTCAAGTGTGTTTTGACTGGTTCATGGCTGTCAAGTGTGTTTAGACTGGTTCATGGCTGTCAAGTGTGTTTATTCTGGTTCATGGCTGTCAGGTATGTTTTAGACTGGTTCATGGCTGTCAAGTGTGTTTATACTGGTTCATGGCTGTCAAGTGTGTTTATACTGGTTCATGGCTGTCAAGTGTGTTTATACTGGTTCATGACTGTCAAGTGTGTTTAGACTGGTTCATGACTGTCAAGTGTGTTTAGATTTGTTCATGACTGTCAAGTGTGTTTATACTTGTTCATGGCTGTCAGGTATGTTTTAGACTGGTTCATGGCTGTCAAGTGTGTTTATACTGGTTCATGGCTGTCAAGTGTGTTTGGGCTGGTTCATGGCTGTCAAGTGTGTTTATACTGTTTCATGACTGTCAAGTGTGTTTAGACTGGTTCATGGCTGTAAGGTGTGTTTATACTGGTTCATGGCTGTCAAGTGTGTTTAGACTGGTTCATGGCTGTCAGGTATGTTTGTACCAGTTAATGGTTGTCAAGTGTGTTTATACTGTTTCATGACTGTCAAGTGTGTTTAGACTGGTTCATGACTGTCAAGTGTGTTTAGATTTGTTCATGACTGTCAAGTGTGTTTATACTGGTTCATGGCTGTCAGGTATGTTTTAGACTGGTTCATGGCTGTCAAGTGTGTTTATACTGGTTCATGGCTGTCAAGTGTGTTGATACTGGTTCATGACTGTCAAGTGTGTTTTGACTGGTTCATGGCTGTCAAGTGTGTTTAGACTGGTTCATGGCTGTCAAGTGTGTTTATACTGGTTCATGGCTGTCAAGTGTGTTTATACTGGTTCATGGTTGTCAAGTGTGTTTAGACTGGTTCATGGCTGTCAAGTGTGTTTAGACTGGTTCATGGTTGTCAAGTGTGTTTTAGACTGGTTCATGGTTGTCAAGTGTGTTTGGGCTGGTTCATGGCTGTCAAGTGTGTTTAGACTGGTTCATGGCTGTCAAGTGTGTTTAGACTGGTTCATGGCTGTCAAGTGTGTTTAGACTGGTTCATGGTTGTCAAGTGTGTTTAGACTGGTTCATGGGTGTCAAGTGTGTTTAGACTGGTTCATGGCTGTCAAGTGTGTTTATACTGGTTCTCTGGTACTCCCTCCCTCCCTCCATCACTCCCTCCATCACTCCCCCGCCCCCTCCCTCCATCACTCCCTCCCTCCCTCAGGTGTGTTTATACTGGTTCATGGTTGTCAGGTGTGTTTAGACTGGTTCATGGTTGTCAAGTGTGTTAATACTGGTTCATGGCTGTCAAGTGTGTTTAGACTGGTTGATGGTTGTCAGGTATGTTTAGACTGGTTGATGGTTGTCAGGTGTGTTTAGATTTGTTCATGGCTGTCAAGTGTGTTTAGATTGGTTCATGGCTGTCAAGTGTGTTTAGATTGGTTCATGGCTGTCAAGTGTGTTTATACTGGTTCATGGCTGTCAAGTGTGTTTAGACTGGTTCTCTGGTACTCCCTCCCTCCCTCCATCACTCCCTCCATCACTCCCCCGCCCCCTCCCTCCATCACTCCCTCCCTCCCTCAGGTGTGTTTATACTGGTTCATGGTTGTCAGGTGTGTTTAGACTGGTTCATGGTTGTCAAGTGTGTTAATACTGGTTCATGGCTGTCAAGTGTGTTTAGACTGGTTGATGGTTGTCAGGTATGTTTAGACTGGTTGATGGTTGTCAGGTGTGTTTAGATTTGTTCATGGCTGTCAAGTGTGTTTAGATTGGTTCATGGCTGTCAAGTGTGTTTAGATTGGTTCATGGCTGTCAAGTGTGTTTATACTGGTTCATGGCTGTCAAGTGTGTTTAGACTGGTTCATGGCTGTAAGGTGTGTTTAGACTGGTTCATGGCTGTAAAGTGTGTTTATACTGGTTCATGGCTGTCAAGTGTGTTTATACTGTTTCATGGTTGTCAAGTGTGTTTATACTGGTTCATGGCTGTCAAGTGTGTTTATACTGGTTCATGGCTGTCAAGTGTGTTTAGACTGGTTCATGACTGTCAAGTGTGTTTTGACTGGTTCATGGCTGTAAGGTGTTTTTAGACTGGTTCATGGCTGTCAAGTGTGTTTACAATGGTTCATGACTGTCAAGTGTGTTTTGACTGGTTCATGGCTGTCAAGTGTGTTTATACTGGTTCATGGCTGTCAAGTGTGTTTATACTGGTTCATGGCTGTCAAGTGTGTTTATACTGTTTCATGACTGTCAAGTGTGTTTAGACTGGTTCATGGCTGTAAGGTGTGTTTATACTGGTTCATGGCTGTCAAGTGTGTTTATACTGGTTCATGGCTGTCAGGTATGTTTGTACCAGTTAATGGTTGTCAAGTGTGTTTATACTGTTTCATGACTGTCAAGTGTGTTTAGACTGGTTCATGACTGTCAAGTGTGTTTAGATTTGTTCATGACTGTCAAGTGTGTTTATACTGGTTCATGGCTGTCAGGTATGTTTTAGACTGGTTCATGGCTGTCAAGTGTGTTTATACTGGTTCATGGCTGTCAAGTGTGTTGATACTGGTTCATGACTGTCAAGTGTGTTTTGACTGGTTCATGGCTGTCAAGTGTGTTTAGACTGGTTCATGGCTGTCAAGTGTGTTTATACTGGTTCATGGCTGTCAAGTGTGTTTATACTGGTTCATGGTTGTCAAGTGTGTTTAGACTGGTTCATGGCTGTCAAGTGTGTTTAGACTGGTTCATGGTTGTCAAGTGTGTTTTAGACTGGTTCATGGTTGTCAAGTGTGTTTGGGCTGGTTCATGGCTGTCAAGTGTGTTTAGACTGGTTCATGGCTGTCAAGTGTGTTTAGACTGGTTCATGGCTGTCAAGTGTGTTTAGACTGGTTCATGGTTGTCAAGTGTGTTTAGACTGGTTCATGGGTGTCAAGTGTGTTTAGACTGGTTCATGGCTGTCAAGTGTGTTTATACTGGTTCTCTGGTACTCCCTCCCTCCCTCCATCACTCCCTCCATCACTCCCCCGCCCCCTCCCTCCATCACTCCCTCCCTCCCTCAGGTGTGTTTATACTGGTTCATGGTTGTCAGGTGTGTTTAGACTGGTTCATGGTTGTCAAGTGTGTTAATACTGGTTCATGGCTGTCAAGTGTGTTTAGACTGGTTGATGGTTGTCAGGTATGTTTAGACTGGTTGATGGTTGTCAGGTGTGTTTAGATTTGTTCATGGCTGTCAAGTGTGTTTAGATTGGTTCATGGCTGTCAAGTGTGTTTAGATTGGTTCATGGCTGCCAAGTGTGTTTAGATTGGTTCATGGGTGTCAAAAGTGTTTTCAGAATGTTGGTGCTGTATTGCAGGAATCTGCTGCCAAGGCCCCTGCCGACTCGCTGACCAGGAGTGAAAGCTTGGAGAACTTAGTGCAGGTAACTTAGATATTAAATTATTTTCTGATCTTGTAATATAACCAAACGTCCTGCTGGGTGATCATTTACAAACATTTACTCATTCGATAATTTTAGCCAATGTGATAGAGCCCTACTTGAACAGTCTTTCATTTGGGTTATGTATAGCGTAACTGTATCATTTCAAAACAAGTCGGGCCATAGTGCTGATAAAGATAATGTTACATCGTCTTGTATTGAGGCCTTAGGGTGGGAGTTAACACAATTTACAGGTACGTACACTACACTCATGCACAATGCTATGACCAGGTGGAGAAATCAGGTGCCCCCGTTCTTCCCGCTCCCCGCCCGGCGGAGGTGAAGGAGCAGTGGGCTGTCAAAGTGGACATCAACCAACCAGTCGACGACTTCTACAAGAGAATACCAGACATGGCTTATAAGGTAATATAGAGCTGACTTGTGAATAACCTTTTACAAGAGAATACTGAACATTTCTTGTGAGGTATTTTAGAACTGACTTGTGACTTTTTGCTTTGAAGCGTGGTATAAGGGATTTATTCTGTCTCTCAGACCTCCACAAGCAGCCTGACTTGCTCGTGTCAGGGTATAAGAGACTTATTCCCCCATTGAGGAATTTATTCCCCTCCAAGGTGGGTTACACAGTATTTTATCAAGATCACTGGACCAATCAGATCTCATCATTCTGATATGGAGGTATGATAAAGTCTTTTATCAAGATCACTGGACCAATCAGATCTCATCATTCTGACATGGAGGTATGATAAAGTCTTTTATCAAGATCACTGGACCAATCAGATCTCATAGTTTTGACATGGAGGTATGATAAAGTCTTTTGTCAAGATCACTGGACCAATCAGATCTCATCATTCTGACATGTAGGTATGTAAAAGGTATTATAGAGCTGACATGCGAATAACCTTTTACAAGAGAATACCAAACATTTCTTATGAGGTATTTTACAACTGACTTTTGAATGACTTGTACCAGAGAATATCCCACATGGTTTATGAGGTATTTTATAACTAACCAGTCTATGACTGAATACCTAAAGATAGAATCCATTGTAATACCAGTATTTAAAAGTAATATTTCTGTCGACAGTGGCCATTTGAGCCGGACATCTTCCAGAAGCAGGCCATCCTTCATCTTGAGAAACATGAAAGTGTCTTCGTGGCTGCCCACACCTCCGCTGGGAAGACCGTGGTGGCAGAGTACGCCATCGCTCTCTCTCTCAAACACATGACCAGGTAAACGTTCATGTCAGTATGGGGGCAGTGGGATAGCCTTGTGGTTAAGGTGTTAGCTCTTCACGCCAAAGACCCAGGTTTGATTTCCCACTTGTGTATGGTGTTTAAAGCATATATTTTCTACTCTACAGAACTGTGTATACATCCCCCATCAAGGCGTTATCCAATCAAAAGTTCCGAGACTTCAAGACCACGTTCGGTGATGTCGGCCTCGTGACGGGAGATGTACAGTTGAATCAGACAGCTGCGTGTCTTATCATGACAACCGAGATTCTCCGGTAAGAAATGATGATGATGATGATGATGATGATGAAGTACCCATGCTTGTCTCTCCATGAAGATTTCAGAGTAGAATACATCCCCTTGTCTCCCCACTGTGGAATAGGTCTCCCTGTGGGGATTCCAAGGCAGAATTTGTACAATGGTTTTGGCGTTGTTGTCTAACTACAGGTCGATATTGTACAGTGGGTCTGACATTGTTCTCTAATTACAGGTCGATGTTGTACAATGGGTCTGACGTGATACGTGACCTGGAGTGGGTAATCTTTGATGAAGTCCACTACATCAACGACTCCGAGGTGAGCTCACAGACACTGGACTAACCATAATCCTACGGGGCAGTGGGGTAGTCGAGTAGTTAATGTGTTCGCTGCTTATGCCGAAGCGCGGGTTTGATTCCCGATATGGGTACAATGTGTGAAGCCTATTCATGGTGTTCGCTGCTGTGATATTTCCTGAATATTGCTAAATGTGGCATAAAACCATACTCACTCACTCCAGAATCCTACCATGACAGTTTGGAATCCTGAATTTTGGGGATGACAACCACACTGCAAAAACAGGGACATTTTCAGATAATGAATCTTCTTATTAACTGTTGTGAAAAACAGCCTTGGTGTAGCTGGAGTATTCATAGCAAATGTAACAATGTATACCATAAAAACCAACAAACAATAAGTTACTATTTTGTAACATAATATAATTTTCTTTTCATACAACTTATAAATAACAGATTATTTGAAGTGCATTACCCCGTTATGTTTTTGCCTTGTTTTGAAGTGATTGAAGTTTGAAGGTAATAGGTATGGTTGAAGTATTTGTATAAAAAAATAGCCATCATGTAAGAGTATGGGACTTTTTGTTGTTGAAAATAAACCTACTAAGTTATATTATAAGGTTTCAAATAACCTGTACATTTTCCATCCTAACACTAATTTAGAGGTATTGATTTTACTTTGACAACCTCTAAATCCAACACATTGGTGTGCTTGCTCATGAGGCATAGCTTTATACAGTCAGTGATAGAAGGGCAGTGTTGTTCTCACAAAACTGAAGTCTATTTCTGTCATCTATGGCACCGCAATTCACTGTGCATTCCTTGGGAACTCCAGAACCTATGATTGTGGGTTTGAATTCCAGTTTGCCCTTATTATGTTTCTTGGTTTGTCAGCACCATACCCGTGCTCGTGGGTTTCACCGAAGTGGTAAACGTCTGAGACCTGCATCACTTCGGGCTTTCCTTCCATATCAAGCTGACACGCCGTGATATAACTGGAATCTTGTTCAAAGCAGCGTTAAACCCAACTCGCTCAAGCACAACCAAATGATTGCCTGATGTAAAGTAGTAGACGTGTTGTTGGGTCAGATGGGTCAGTGGTTCATGCTTTCTCTTGTTACACGAGGTCTGGGTTTGATCCCCACATTCTGTACAGTCGTGACATTCCACAGTGAGATCAGGTCACAAAGGAAGTAAAATCGGACTGTAAATGTACATCAAACACATGTGATGTTGTTATTGGCAGACTGTAGTTGATGATGTTGTTGTTCCAGCGTGGCGTTGTGTGGGAGGAGGTGTTGATCATGCTGCCGCAGCACGTTAACATCATCTTGCTGTCCGCCACAGTCCCAAACACCATGGAGTTCGCTGACTGGATTGGGTAAGATCCCCCATGACGATCTGTGTTTAAATTGGTCTCCAGCAACCTATGCTTGTGGTTAGAGGCAAGCAACGAAGTCAGGTGGTCATGCTCGTTGACTTGGTTGATCCCATTTGCTTGGATCGATGCTCATGGTGTCAATCACTGGATTGCAGACCTTGCAAACCTTGTCTTCCAGAACGATTGAGTGCTGGCCGTCACAGGGTATGAAAGCCTTGAACTCCATCACCACCTGTGAAGATCTTCAGCACCACATGCTTACGATGCTGAATTCAAACTGCGAGTCTTCGCTCCAGCTGATATATTTTCTCACGGGTTCATAATTCTATATACACCGATTCACAAAATGGCGCTTGGTTGTTGATGGCAACATATAACGATTATAATAATGACTTTTTCAATATAATTACAACGTTTTTCATCTTATATTTTTTAATATCTGCGAGTACCGGCACATGTCTTTCAGTCCGACTTCACAGTGTTTTTTGTCTTTCAATTCCTGATTCGGCTTATCTGCGGGTCATATCATTTTCGTATTTCAATGGTCAAATTAACACCTCGGCTTATCTACGGGGTCGGCTTATCCGCGGTCATATACGGTAAGAGGCAACGGATCAAATGTTCGGGCTTCCTGACTTGGTTGATGCATGTCATTGTATTCCAATTATGTTATCGATGCTCATGTCAATTACTGGATTGTCTGGTCCAGATTTGATTATTTACAGACCGCCATCATATAGCTGGAATATTGCTGAGTGTGGTGTTAAATAACAAACAAATAAAACAAAACAATAGGAACGTAAAATCCAACTCCCTGACTAACTGCGTCCAACTGTATTTCAGTCGTATCAAGAGGAAGAAGATCTACGTGATCAGCACGCTGAAGCGACCAGTGCCCCTGGAGCACTTCCTGTACACAGGCAACAGCAACAAGACCAGCAACGAACTCTTCCTCATTGTCGACTCAAAGGGACAGTTTGTCACTCAGGGGTGAGAAGAATCATATAGTCACCCGTTTATTGATTCACAAATCGATTGTGGGTCACATGTTACCTTGTAGTCTAAAGTGCAAAGTTGTTTGTGAACCACCTTCGTGGTCTAGTGGACAGAGCGTCTGACTGGAGAGCGGAAGGTCAGTGATTCGATCCCCTGGCTGCACTGTACCAAAAGACGTGAAAAGATGAAAAGATAGAACTTGTTCTTTCCCTGCATGGGGGTAAAACAAAGACTGGTCAGCTTGGAGTCAGTATACTGTGTCAGGGGGAGTGGGGGTGGGGGATGGGGGGGTATTCATATTAAACTGCGGCATGGTATCTGAGTGGGCTAGCACTATAAAACCAGCAGCATTAGTTCTGATAAGTACAAGCACCCCATTTCACCTCACCTCCTATTTGGGAGCATGGGTGGCTCAGTTGTCTAAGGAGCTGCGATTCGCTGTGCAGAGTTGCATCCCTTGGGCACGCCGCAAACCTATGATTGTGGGTTCGAATCCTGGTTCGACCCGATTATGTTTCTAGGTTTGTCAGCACCATACCCGTGCTCTAGGGTTTCACCGAAGTGGAAAACGTATGAGATCTGCATCACTTCAGGCTTTCCTCCCACTTTAAGCTGACACGCCGTGATATAACTGGAATACTGTTAAAAGTGGCATTAAACCCAACTCACTCACTCACTCACCTCCTACTTCCTTGTTTCCATTTATTTCCATCATACCCATGCACATCTAGGAATTGGGTCACAAAGAGCATTCATCAACATTAAGCTGATATGCAGGGATGTTAAGAAGATGCAGCATCTAAGATAATATGTGGGTTCACCAAGGGAATTCCGGGTTAGAATAGGTCCCCAGCAACCTCTGTTTGGTGTATAAGGTGACTTAAGGGATTAGGTGATTAGCCTCTGTGACTTGGTTGATTGTATGTCATTGTATATGGGCGGCCGTGGAGAGCTGTTCATAATATCAATCACTGGATTGTTGGGTCTAGATTCAATTATTTACAGGCCACCATCACTTAGCCACCAGTTGTCTGAAACTACAAATACAAATATCTTTACTTAATGGGTCCCCTAACTTAGGTGTCAACATTATGATAATTTTGTTCTCAGGTCTTGTCTCAAAGTGTTTGTTTTTATTGATAAATAACAATAAATTATATAGTCAGTTTCACAACCTGTGAAATAGGAACATAATTATGTTTTGAGACAATGTGGATTTTTTTCATGGTGATTGATTTTGTTCCACATTGCAGATATAACAAGTCGGTAGAGGCCAAGAAAGAACGTGCCAGCAAATCGTCACAAAGCTTTGGGCCTAAGGGGACAAGGGGAGGCAACCCTGCACAGGTAAGCATATTACTGCCCTTCCTCTGTTGGTAAACTTGAACAAGATTTCCAGCACAGTGATGACAGCAGTTCACCACTGCCACCAGCAGATGTTGGTTGGTTTGTTGTTCAACGCTGCACTCAGCAATATTCCAGCTATATGTCGGCAGTGGGTAAATAATCGAGTATGGACCAGACAACCCAGTGATTGATACCATGAGCATCGATCCAAGGAATTGGGATACGATGGCATACATCAACCAAGTCAGCAAGCCTGACCACCCGATCCTGTCAGTCGCCTCTTATGACAAGCATAGTCGCCTTTTACGGCAAGCATGGGTAGCTGAAGACCTATTCTACCCCGAATCTTCAAGGGCCACCAGCTAGTGAAGAGGTTCTAGGTACTGCAAGGAACCCTGATAAAATGTTTTTTATTCCATATTTATGTAATGTTGGGTCAGTTGATCTGTAGACAAAGTACAATGGAATCAGTCAAAACCGGACTCTAATTTCTGTCAGTACCAGACATTATGTGTGCCCAAAATGGATACAAGTGTGCTGTGACGTCATAAAAAGGAACATTTGACATCAATTAACCTCTGTAAAAAATGGCCATGTGTTTGAACTGTACAAAAATATCTTTGTGTTCTCTCATTAGTTCGTTTTCTAATAAAACATGATTTCTCAAACATTATATCTCAAAACTGCAATTATATTTTATATACATAAACAGTTATAAGTTTGAAAATGGGACTTTGCACAAAATAATTCCAAAAGTTTGATGCCATGTAACATGTAATAAATATGAATTGAAACTTGTGAATTGTATTTTAGTGTTCCTAAGATACCATAGTTTAGAACTGAGAAGCCAAAATGTGATTTTTCACCCATGAGGTCCTTTATCTCATTGTTGGTTACATTTATACTTCCAAATTTATTACAATTAAGAAAAAGATGTCTCATTCTGCTGTTCCTATTTCTTAATCTCCATCTTTACTCTAAGTATTCTGGACCTCCAGCCCCCCTGAGAGGATATGTAAGCCCACATAAATCAAAGTAATTTTATATCTGCCAGTGTTTTAATCGTAGCATATTTGTTGGTTTTAAATCTCCGGCTAAACCCTGTCAACGGTCGCCAGTGACTAAAGGGATGGTTTAAATCCTGCTGGGGTCCATGCAGGTAGCAAAGGTACTGTAAGTCCCCATGGTCCTCAGTATGGTGTCCTCACTTTAGTTGCTGGTGATATATAGCCCAATTTTATCTATTGTAATGTTATGAATTGTTATATTTTTATGGTTCTGTACTAGTTTTAAACATATATCTGTGATGGTCTAGTTGTTTTACTGTCCTTCGTCGACGGAATTTTATACAGTTTACATATATGTTATGAAAGTCACATTTTCTCTCGTCACGATATGGCTGCAATATTGCCGATGTGACGTTAAATCTTACTCACTCACTCACTCACTCACTCACTGGACCTCCAGCGTTAGAAATTGGCACTAGTCCTATAGTCCTTATCAAACTGCCAAAAAGTTAGGGTATCATAAGGACTAGTAGAAAAAATGCCATTTATTAAGGCTTTGCATGTTATCATTATAAGGACTACTGAACTAAAAATGTTAGTTTCTATCGCTGACCTCTGTCTAAACAGGACAGGACTGAGAACTATGGATTAGACAGAATCAGTTATGATTAACACATTCCACACTTCAGGACAAGAATGTGTGGCTGTCGCTGATCGACATGGTGAAGAAGAAGGATAAGCTGCCAATGGTGGCCTTCACCTTCTCTCGGAAGAAGATCGAGGAAAATGCAGACAAGCTGAGCAGCGTTGACCTGACAACACAGAGTGAGAAGAGCGAGATCCACATCTTCTTCCATCGATGTGTGAGCAAGTTGAAGCCCCCCGACCGCAACTTGCCGCAGATCAGGAACATGGAGGACATCTTGAAGAGAGGGCTCGGCATCCACCACAGCGGGATCCTGCCCATCCTCAAGGAGGTGGTCGAGATGCTGTTCCAGAAAGGCCTTGTCAAGGTGAGGGAGTATTTAGAACCATGGCGATTCATCCTCCAGAGAGCCGCCTACGTGGTCTAGTGGTAGAGCGTCCGCCTGGAGAGAGGAAGGTCAGGTGTTCGATCCCCGGCCACGTCATACCAAAAGACGTTAAAAGATGGTACTTGTTGTTACTCTGTCTGGCGCTCGGCATTTAGGGGTTAAAACAAGGACTGGTCGGCTCGGAGTCAGTATACTGTGTCTGCGTGGGGTATTCATGTTAAACTGCAGCATGGTATCTCAGTGAGCTAGCACTATAAATCGGCATTAGTCCGGACTAGTACAACCAGCAACACAAACACACACATACATGCACGTCGCTATATAAGTGCAATAATCTTGGACGCGACATTAAACCCATTTCACCTCACCTCATCCTCCAGAGTCATAATACCTGGTACACATGTATTATGATAGATAGCTTGAACTCATTTGCGACCATAGTTTGTACTGGTGGCACTACAATCAAACCCAGAAAATCCAGCCTTGTTCGGCAAGGGTGGAAACTGGACTTTCACAGTCAGTTACCTCCCTTGCCTCAGGAAGATGGAGATAGATATGGAGATATTTCCAAAACGAAGCTTTGGTTGTGAATGGTTCCATGGTATATATCATGATTGAAGGGCCACTAATCATGGATGTGGCAGATGCTGAATTTTGATCTATTTAGGTGTGTACAATAATTGTCATACATATTCTTTTGCTTGGCCTGTTTGAAATAAGAGGAAGAAGGCTGCCTTTTTCTATTACCTTGTAGTTATCATGTTTAATCATTATGCCATACACAGAGATTTTATTCTGTACAAATACATCAGTACAATGTGGAAGCCCATTCTTGGAGTCCCACAACTAGGATAGCGATAACAGCTGACTGATACTTGCACTGATTCATTTTTAGATGTTTTTTCGTGATCTTGTAGATCCTGTTTGCCACCGAGACATTTGCTATGGGCGTGAACATGCCGGCCAGGACCGTGGTGTTCGACTCAATACGGAAACACGATGGAACAAAATTCCGCGATTTACTGCCGGGAGAGTACATCCAGATGGCTGGGCGGGCGGGACGGCGTGGTCTGGACACGACAGGAACAGTCATCATACTCTGCAAGGGAGATGTCCCTGAAGTCTCCGATCTGCACAGCATGATGCTGGTGAGTGGTCTAGAGGGTGCGCAGGTCTAGTTTCTACATAGACCTAGATGCCATAGGTCTAGAGGGTTTGTATGTCTAGATGGTACATGGGTCTAGATGTCCCTGAAGTCTCCGATCTGCACAGCATAATGCTGGTGAGTGGTCTAGAGGGTGCGCAGGTCTAGTTTCTACATAAGATGGTACATGGGTCTAGATGTCCCTGAAGTCTCCAATCTGCACAGCATGATGCTGGTGAGTGGTCTAGAGGGTGCGCAGGTCTAGTTTCTACATAGACCTAGATGCCATAGGTCTAGAGGGTTTGTATGTCTAGATGGTACATGGGTCTAGATGTCCCTGAAGTCTCCGATCTGCACAGCAAAATGCTGGTGAGTGGTCTAGAGGGTGCGCAGGTCTAGTTTCTACATAAGATGGCCATGGGTCTAGATGTCCCTGAAGTCTCCAATCTGCACAGCATAATGCTGGTGAGTGGTCTAGAGGGTGCGCTGGTCTAGTTTCTACATAGACCTAGATGCCATAGGTCTAGTTGGACGGTAGGTCTAGATGGTACATGGGTCTAGATGGTACTTAGGTCTAGATAAGGGCTAGGATGAATCCAAATTTACTACCTGGATACCAGACTCCATATTACACAACCATACCAACTTTTGATTTCAAGTTGGGTACAAAATGTTTCATTGTACCGGAACCTAACAAAAATATTTAAATACATGTGTAAAAGGAACTGATCATGCATACACTTAAGTTGACTGAAGCTTTATCTTTACTCGAACATGTAAAAGACAGAAGGAATGTGTGCATAGTCAGAAAGAAATGCGAACATTAGTGGCTTGTTGTGTAACCATGGAGCTTTATTGTCATTGTAACAAATGTTATATTCGTGATGACACTTACTGAAGTACAAATTCTAATACTTTTTTTTTAGTCCTATTTATTGCCATTGTCATTAAACAATACATCACATGACTAACCATGGGTCTGTGTAGTCCTGTAGGTACCAAGATCCTGCTGAGGATCATCTTCCCGAGGCAAGAGAGTTAACTGACTTTAAAAGTCCAGTTTCCACCCTTGCCGAACTAGGCTTGAATTCCTGGGCTCTATCATAGCGCCACCAGTGGCTATTACGAGTTATGTCCTTTCTATGCCTCTCCTATTGACCAATCAGATTCAACCTCTCGTATCACTTGCATTTGCTTCAAACAAAACGGTGGTGCCCAGTCAAGACGGTCTGATTAATAATCAAGATATATATTGTGATAAAACGAGTCTTACATCGCAAAGTGCATCAAATCACGTGAGCACCTTCTTTAAAAGCATGAAAAGATTTTGAAAATATCTATTGACATCAAGTTAGCGGTGCACATGCTTTGCAAATCCTGCAGTCGACAGTAATCTGCATGACACTTTACGAACTGGATTTCGATTTCAGTGCGCGATTTTTATTGGACTATGCATAGGCTCGTTAGTCCAGCCAAAATGTAACTCCATAATACCAGCCTAGTTCGGCAAGGGTGTAAACTGGACTTTTATAGTCAGTTAACTCACTTGCCTCGGGAAGATGGCCCAGGATCCACCAGATGCAAGTACCCAAGTTACCCATCCAGATGGTGCTTAGGTTTATATGTTGCATAGATCTACTGGCACTTAGTAGGTCTGCAGGTTACGTAGGTCTTCAGGTTCCGTATGTTTACAGGTTACGTATGTTTACTTTGTATTTAGATCTGGAGGTTACGTAGGTCTGCAGGTTATGTATGTTTACATGGTATTTAGATCTGAAGGTAACGTAAGGTCTGCAGGTTACAAAGATTTACATGGTATTTAGATCTAGAGATTATGTAGGTCTACAGTTTACGTAGATTTACATGGTATTAAGATCTGCAGGTTACATATGTTTACATGGTATTTAGATCTGGAGGTTACGTAAGGTCTGCAGGTTACGTAGTGTTGCATGGTATTTAGAAATAGAGGTTACGTAAGGTCTGAAGGTTACGTAGTGTTACATGGTATTTAGATCTGGAGGTTACGTAAGGTCTGAAGGTTACGTAGTGTTACATGGTATTTAGATCTGGAGGTTACGTAAGGTCTGGAGGTTACGTAGTGTTACATGGTATTTAGATCTGGAGGTTACGTAAGGTCTGAGGGTTACGTAGTGTTACATGGTATTTAGAAATAGAGGTTACGTAAGGTCTGAAGGTTACGTAGTGTTACTCTGCAGGTTACGTAGTGTTACATGGTATTTAGATCTAGAGGTTATTTATGCCCTATGATAAAGGTTTGCTTGCCATTACGATGACTGAACTGAAAGACCTGTTACTGGGGTGCTGAGTGCTGGGGACCTGTTGTTATCAGGGTTAATTATACTTGCAGGGCAAACCAACAAAGTTAGAGTCTCAGTTCCGCCTGACGTACACGATGATCCTGAACCTGCTGCGGGTCGAGCAGCTGCGAGTGGAGGACATGATGAAGAGGAGCTTCTCCGAGTTTCACGCTCAGAAGGATGCCTCGAAACACAGGGACGCCATTCAGCAGCTGGCCAAGAAGGTCAAGGACATTCAGGAGGTGGAGTGCTTCATGTGTTCTATCGACCTTGAGAACTACTTCAAGTCGTGGGTGGAATATCATGACCTACGGAAGAAGCTGCAGGTGAGTTGTTGTTGCAGGAATACACAATATTTAATATTTAAATAGCAGCCTCTGAAGTTATTGCATACATATTTATTTTAAAAAATTTACTTTCAATATCTTTTTGCATTTATGGAGTTCCAAACTTTGGTGTGAATTTACAGTGTGCACATCATTTTTTACGCATATAACTCCATAAACATAACTCTGATAAAGGCAAAAAATATTAAAGACAATTCTTCAATCAACTCTTTCAAAATTATCCCTCGCTGTGAATAGCTTCAGGACTACTGATGTGGTGTTAACAATCACTCACCCTCTCACTCAGTCTTATCACCACAAGTTGATGACTCAATATTTTGTAACCCAAAGCTGTTATCAATTTAGTCTGAATCTGGTAATTTCATAATTTCACTCAAGGAAGAAACGTTAGAAATCTTTTATGGATCCGATTTTTGTGTGAACTACCCTATTTATCATTTATCGGTGCCAGATAATTTGCAGCCATGTTGTTTACTGAAATACCCGTACATGTTAACCCATCTATCTAAACTTGTCATCAATTTATGGAGCTTAAAGGCAGAACTTGCTAGGGGACCTCATCTGCATATGTATTGGATCATGACGCCAAGTTTATCAGACTGGAGTATAGCATCAATAACACGTTCCATTATATACACAAGCGGATCCAGACAGGGTGGTGGTCCAGGGGGTCCCCCACACTCCCCTTGAAAACCAAATGTAGTATGCTGTTATAGGCAGTAAAGTTGACTAAGAGAGGATTTTGATATTTTGGACCAATCTCTTTTTAAAATACTGGTTCCGCCCTTGATATGTTAGCATCCTGTATTTGCAGAGCGTGGTCCTGACCCACCCGGCAGCCATTAAAGCATTGTCTGCAGGTCGTGTGGTGGTCATCGACAACTCAAGTCACAGGAACACACTGGGTGTTGTGCTTCAGTCAAGTATGGGGCAGAATAACGACAGAATATTTACTGTGCTTATTGTTTGTGAAAAACATTACAGTGAGGCTGCTCACAATGATAAACACTCTGCCGAGGCATCGCCAATCCTGTCTCGGCAACTGTTTCAACCCGAGGGTCCATGTTGGCATGACGTTGTGAAGGTGAAGGGTGAAGAAATTAGTGTTGTGACAACAAAGACACTGAAGGTGGATCCAACCAAAATAATTAATGATGTACAGAAACGACAACAACTCAGATTTAAGTAAGTCCTATGCCCTACACATTTTGGTCATAACTTCTGCACACATATTGATTTATTTTTTGTGAGATCACCTTTCTCTTTCAGTTTACCACTGCTATTCCTCTGCCAAAAATGTTTCTTTCGAAATCAATTTTCCGGATTAGCCAGGATAGGCCTTAAGCTTGTCACAAGAGCTACCTCTATGGTCTAGTTTATATAGCTCAGCAGCTGCCCAGAGAGGAGAAGGTCGGTGGTTCAATCCCTGCATTTGTGCAGACATGACTAGAAAGATTGCACACACACGCAGGACATGACATGACTTGCTGACTGCAGCATAAAACATCATTCACCCACTGTTATATGGAACTCGCAGGTTTGTTGTCCGCCTGTCCAAGGTTGACTCCCCCTGCTTTAAGGGCTGGATTAAGGGAGTTAATGTGCTTGTCAGGCCTTGATATGATTCCCCTTATCAATGTGAAGCCTATTCTTAGAATCCCTGACTATATAATAGTGGTGAAACGATCCATCAGTGCGCTGGTGCATCGTGAATTTAATGCGACGATGCGATACACGATAAGATGTTAAACTTGCTAAAATAAATTACTGGCTACTTGTTTAATGAGCATTTTTGTCAGTCAAATATCATGAAATGTGTTGCAATCAGGGATTCAAGTTCACTACTTAAAATAGCTGCTATGAACATGTGTCTACAGCAACCTTTACCTTTTGAACCTGCACTGAAATATTTGTAGTCAAGAAGTTTCCATGTGATATCGCAATATGTATCATATCATGACCTATGTGTCGTGATTCATATCTTATCTTGACCTTGCTGTACTGTTTCACCCCTACCTAATTGAGGAAAAAGTGCTCAAAGCAGCATGGAAACTTTAACAGTGCAGACAGATACCTCCAAGTGGTCAGGTTTATAATAATTCGTCTGGGGGGATTCCAGAGTTGAGTTGGTCCCCAGGAACCTATGCTTGTCTCCCTGTGGGGATTCCAGAATAAAGTTGGTCCCCAGGAACTTATGCTTGTCTCCCTGTGGGGATTCCAGAGTAGAGTTGGTCCCCAGGAACTTATGCTTGTCTCCCTGTGGGGATTCCTTGTAGAGTTGGTCCCCAGGAACCTATGCTTGTCTCCCTGTGGGGATTCCAGAGTAGAGTTGGTCCCCAGTAACCTATGCTTGTCTCCCTGTGGGGATTCCAGATTAGAGTTGGTCCCCAAGAACCTATGCTTGTCTCCCTGTGGGAATTCCTGGTAGAGTTGGACCCCAGGAACCTATGCTTGTCTCCCTGTGGGGATCCCAGAGTAGAGTTGGTCCCAAGTAATCTATGCTTGTCTCCCTGTGGGGATTCCAGAGTAGAGTTGGTCCCCAGTAGCCTATGCTTGTCTCCTATGGGAATTCCAGAGTAGAGTTGGTCCCCAGTAACCTATGCTTGTCTCCCTTTGGGGATTCCAGAGTAGAGTTGGTCCCCAGTAACCTATGCTTGTCTCCCTGTGGGGATTCCAGAGTAGAGTTGGTCCCCAGTAACCTATGCTTGTCTCCCTGTGGGGATTCCAGAGTAGAGTTGGTCCCCAGTAACCTATGCTTGTCTCCCTGTGGGGATTCCAGAGTAGAGTTGGTCCCCAGTAACCTATGCTTGTCTCCCTATGGGGATTCCAGAGTAGAGTTGGTCCCCAGTAACCTATGCTTGTCTCCCTGTGGGGATTCCAGAGTAGAGTTGGTCCCCAGTAACCTATGCTTGTCTCCCTGTGGGGATTCCAGAGTAGAGTTGGTCCCCAGTAGCCTATGCTTATTCCATAATGTAAATTCTTTCTCCACCAATGTGTGTTTTAGGTGGTTTTGGGTCCATGACAGATTCACCTGCTCCCCGTTTAGTATGTAACGTTATATCTGTGTTAAGAATCTCCAGTGCCATTGATTAATTCGATAAAACAATGCATTTCAATGTATGACCCCCAAATCATGTGATTGACACTGACCTTGAATATTGACTCGTCACATGATTGGTATTGACCTGTAATGTGATGAATATTGACACTCGTCTGCTTGAAAACAAGATGGCATCTGGTGGTAACATTTCTCGGTTCCCAGGTTACTGTAATGAAACAGAGGACAGTTTACTGGCTTCATAAACTTTAAAGTGAATTATGGTAAAACAGAACAAATGATTTGACTGCAACCTCGGTATGGTCAGACCACCTCAGGGGTTTGGTGCTTGGGTTCTTGTTTTCGTATATTGAACTCGTCAAGATTACATATTTGTTTAAGATTCCATGAAGATACTTGTACTGTCAGCACCATACCGTCTACGATCCATCTCACTTCTCTCTCTCTATCCTATCATATGACTGAAATGCTGTTCAAAGTTTACTCTCACTCACTCACTCATTCACTTACACACAGAGATGATCCCCCCGGCCAGTCTGTTTCCATGACAACCCAGGAGTTGCTGCGACTGACAGAAGCTAATCTGTCTGGTATGAGTGGCCTTGACCCCGTGAAAGACCTTCACCTTCGCGACATCAGTCTCGTTGAGCAGTTCCGGTCACTGCAGTTCCTTGAAGAGAATCTAAGAAAATATCAGTGTATCAACTGTCCCAAGTTTGAAGATCATGTGAGTACTGTAACCGTCATTGATTGTTTTGATTGTTTCGTCAGATATAAGTAGTAGACTCATATCATAGTGCTTATTGTCCATATTGCCCAAGTACAGCTAGTTATTAAACTCTATACACAAGCACATGTGTAATAATAGTATAAAAGTATTGAAAACTTAACAGTCAAAGTCAACCTTTGTCGCACCTTTGTTTCAAACACTGCATGTATTATGTAATTAATAATGATGCTACATCCTTGTCTCACTGTGTGGCTTCCTGGGCAGGATAGGTCCCCAGTACGCCTTGCTTGTCACCCTGTAGGGATTCCTGGGCAGGATAGGTCCCCTGGCAGTACCACTTGCTTGTGTCCCTGTGTGGATTCCTGGGCAGGATAGGTCCCGGTAGCCCTTGCTTGTCTCCCTTGGGGGATTCTTGGGCAGGATAGGTCCCGGTAGCCCATGTTTGTCTCCCTTAAGGGATTCCTGGGCAGGACAGGTCCCCTGGCAGTACCCCTTGCTTGTCTCCATGTGTGGCTTCCTGGGCAGGACAGGTCCCCTGGCAGTACCCCTTTCTTGTCTCCATGTGTGGCTTCCTGGGCAGGATAGGTCCCCTGGCAGTACCCCTTGCTTGTCTCCATGTGTGGCTTCCTGGGCAGGACAGGTCCCCAGTACCCCTTGCTTGTCTCCCTTAGGGGATTCCTGGTCAGGACAGGTCCCCTGGCAGTACCCCTTTCTTGTCTTCCTGTAGAGATTCCTGGGCAGGCTAGGTCCCCAGTACCCCTTTCTTGTCTTCCTGTAGAGATTCCTGGGCAGGATAGGTCCAAGTACCTAATGCTTGTCTTAATGTAGGGGTTCTTGGGCAGGATAGGTCCCAAATACCTCATGCTTGTCTTTCTGTAGGGATTCCTGGGCAGAATAGGTCCCCAGTACCCCTTTCATGTCTTTCTGTAGGGATTCCTGGGCAGGATAGGTCCCCAGTACCTAATGCTTGTCTTAATGTAGGGGTTCTTGGGCAGAATAGGTCCCCAGTACCCCTTTCTTGTCTCCCTGTAGGGGTTCTTGGGCAGGATAGGTCCCAAATACCTCATTCTTGTCTTTCTGTAGGGATTCCTGGGCATGATAGGTCCCAAGTACCTAATTCTTGTCTCCCTGTAGGGGTTCCAGGGCTGGGTAGGTCCCCAGAACCCAATGCTTCTCTCCTTGTGTAGATACCAGAACAGAACGTAACCCCAGTGCCCAAAACTTATAGTAACAACAGTCCCTCACCTCTCCCTTTCTGCCACCAGTTCCACCATGTCCAGAAGAACATGTCCATACAAGCCGAGTATGAGAACCTCAAGTACCTGCTGTCTGACCAGAGTCTCACCCTGCTGCCGGAGTATGAGCAGAGGATAAAGGTCAGTCATTTAGAGTTATCTGCCCCTTGCCAAATAGTTTTAAGAATACTGTACAAAGATTTATGGATTTCTGTCCTGAGTGAATTAGTATTTTTCTGAGGGACAGGTATCTGTAATTGAGACTAGCTAGGAGTTTGGATGACATGGGCCGATACAGAGGGGGGGGGTGCGCACCCCCCTTTTTATTTTGAAAAAAATCTTTATTTCTGTATAAATTACCACCAAAGACAATAAATAGATCTTAATTGTGCACCCCCCCTTTTCAAAAAAGCTGTATCCGCCCATGGATGACAATGTAAACACGAGAAGGGAAATCCTTACTGCCAACAGCACAGAGTATAAACATTCTCAACCAAACCCATCAACTCATCAAACATCCCAATCAGTCATAATCCTTTTGTTTATATTACTGGCTTCACCCTTTTGTGTATAAAACAGGCTTCTCCAGTCCAGTGTAAGTACATCTTAAATCTACCCTACTGTATAAACACTGCCTACTACCTGTACATATACTTGTCAACCATACTCAGGACATCACTTGCTTGATAACGGTGTTTGTACCTACACCGAAACATCGCTCCTAATTGTAATAAAGAAGTTGTTCTTCCATATATCTTAGCCTTACTTAGTACTCAAACTTCTAAATGCCTCTCAAAGAAGTTGATATCTTTTGTTGTTAATGATCGACATTAAATCCATTGTTCAGTTATGTATTGGTGTTGTTAAAAAATAACATAAACATATGATGTTAAAAACGAAACAAAACAAAATCAGACCCGTGAAAATCCGGAGTAGAATAGGCCTTCAGCAACCCATGCTTGCCGTAACAGGCGACAATTTTTTGTCGTAAGAGGCAATTAATGGGATTGGGTGGTCAGGCTCGCTGATTTGCTCCCAATTGCATGGATTGATGCTCATGACGTCACTCACTGGATTGTCTGGTCCAGACTCGATTATTTACAGACTGCCGTCATATAGCTGGAATATTGCCAAATACGGTGTTAAACAACAAACAAACAAAACAAAATCAGCTTTTGCATTGCTTTGCTATGTTCTTTCAAAATTAGAATGCATTCACATATGGTCACATTTACGCTGACTTCAGTGTATAGCTTCATTACCATTTGCCAGTAGCCTGACACATAGTTTACTGACGGTACTGAGGGTTTAAGTAACTGTGCAGAGATGATTTAGTTAGGCTATCTATATGTAACTGCACCATTTACCTGTTGTTTGCAGTTGGCTAAGTACAATTGTCTCCATGACACATCTTCTACCTTTTTTTTGTATATCTTTTTCAAAATAGACATGTATATTTATTGTGAAATTGATGAAGAAATGTTTTGGTTTGTTTGTTACTTGTTTAACGCCGCACTCAGCAATATTCCAGCTATATGACGGCGGTCAGTAGATAATCAAGTCTGGACCAGACAATCCAGTGATTGACATGCGCATCAATCCACACATTTGGGATCAATGACATGCATCAACCAAGTCAGCGAGTCTGACCACCCGATCCCGTTAGTCGCCTCTTATGTCATGTGGCATAAGTTAGTTTACATACCTTTCTGTGGTATTGAATCTTCTGTTTCTCATCTTTGCATATTCACATTAACCCTTTCGGTTATGACTATTATTATATCATCAATAATAATAATAATGATCCAGAAAGGTCAGGTGAGCTTCAGAGCCTTGCACTGTTTGAATCTTCGGTTATTTACTTTTGAAAATTCAAGCCGGTTCTTCTGTTATGACCTAAACAATCTGATAAAGCAAATATTCATAATAACATCAGGTGAGCTAGAGAGCCTTTTTTATGTTCCAATTCTGTTTAGGTATTACAAGACTTGAACTACATTGATGCTAACAACGCAGTCCAGTTGAAAGGTCGTGTGGCATGTGAGATCAGCAGCAACGAGCTGATGATCACGGAGCTGGTGTTTGAGAATGCCCTTACCGACCTCCACCCGACAGACATCGCTGCTCTCCTCTCCTGCATGGTGTTCGAGCAGAAGAAGTGCAGCGAGCCCAACCTCACGGACACCCTCAAAAAGGTGGGATCAGCCTGTCACAGGATTTGAAGCTTTAATTATTGTTGAACCGGGACTTATAAGGCTCATTCTCTGACCCATCATTTCAGTTCATTTCACATTGTGGTTTGATTTGAAGGACCAGTAGAATATATCTGACATATGGGAGACTCTGGGGGTTCGCTGTGTGTAGTTGCTTCCCTTTGATGTGCAAGGATCTTAATCCCAAATTCGCCCTGATCATGATCCTTGGTTTGTCAGCACTATGCCCATGCTCCCAAAACATTTCACAAGCCATCTGCAGTCTGCTTGTCTTGGGGTTTGCCTCAGACATTGAGCTGATTAGACATAATATCACTGGAAAACTGCTCAAAGCAGTGTTAGATCCACTCAGTATTAAATATTATCCATTACTCTGACTTACAATAACAATGAATAATGCAGCCAGAGTTTTAAGCCATGCACAGAGTTACAGGGATTTACACAGACCTGGGGCGGTTGGGTAGCCAAGTGGTTTAAGCGTTCGCTCGTCATGCTGAAGACCCGGGTTCGATTCCTGACATGGGTACAATGTGTGAAGCCCATTTCTGGTGTCTCCCGCCGTGATATTGCTAAAAGCAGCGTAAAACCATACTCACTCACTTACATAGACCTATCCATGCCTGCAGCAAATCGCCATAAATAATCCCAGTTCATGTTAACATAGATATTACTGATGTTATGGCTTTGTGGAGGTAACTTGTATATCACTGAAAACAAGAGGATAAGAAGAAGAGGCTTTAATGCTTAGCGACCCGTGAAGAATAGGTCTTCAGCAACCCATGCTTGCTGTAAAAGGCGACTATGCTTGTCCTAAGAGGCAACTAATGGGAGTTGGTGGTCAAACTCGCTGACTTGGTTGATGCATGTCATTGTATCCCAATAAGGTAGGTTGATGCTCATGATGTCAATCACTGGATTGTCTGGTCCTGACTGGATTAACAGACCACCGTCATATAGCTGGATTATTGTCGAGTGTGGCATTAAACAACAATCAAACAAACAAATTAATGCTTAGTTTACTAAATGCAATGTTTCAATATCTGAGAATTTAGGAAATTAACTTGTAATAAATCCAAATTTTCAACAAAATCATTATCTTGTACCAATTTGCCTGCTAAGGGCACTTAGTTTAGAATTCTAGATATATTCCCGAGTTCATCATTTTTGGTTAGCGAGTTTCAGCTGTTTTAGAAAAGAAACTTTATAGTATTTATATATTCAGGGCCATGAGCGGATCCTGGAGATTGCGGAGCGTATCGGTCAGTTGCAGAGGCAACATGGGATGGTAGTACCAGTGGAGGACTACAAAGCCACCTTCAAGATCGGCATCATGGAAGTCGTGTTTGAGTGGGCGAGAGGCATGGTCAGTAGACATTGTTGTTTTCACAGTCCAAACTGTGCTTGTCTCCCTGTGGGTATTCTGGTGCAGAATAGATCCCCAGTACCTCATGCTTGTCTCCCTGTGGGTATTCTGGTGCAGAATAGATCCCCAGTACCTCATGCTTGTCTCCCTGTTGGGATTCTGGTGCAGAATAGATCCCCAGTACCTCATGCTTGTCTCCCTGTGGGGATTCTAGGGTGGAATAGATCCCCAGTACCTCATGCTTGTCTCCCTGTGGGTATTCTGGTGCAGAATAGATCCCCAGTACCTCATGCTTGTCTCCCTGTTGGGATTCTGGTGCAGAATAGATCCCCAGTACCTCATGCTTTTCTCCCTGTTTGGATTCTGGTGCAGAATAGATTCCCAGTACCTCATGATTGTCTCTCTGTTGGGATTCTGTTGCAGAATAGATCCCCAGTACCTCATGCTTGTCTCCCTGTTGGGATTCTGTTGCAGAATAGATCCTCAGTACCTCATGCTTGTCTCCCTGTTGGGATTCTGGTGCAGAATAGATCCCAAGCACCTCATGCTTGTCTTCCTGTGGGGATTCTGGTGCAGAATAGATCCCCAGTACCTCATGCTTGTCTCCCTGTGGGGATTCTGGTGCAGCATAGATCCCCAGTACCTCATGCTTGTCTTCCTGTGGGGATTCTGGTGCAGAATAGATCCCCAGTACCTCATGCTTGTCTTCCTGTGGGGATTCTGTTGCAGAATAGATCCCCAGTACCTCATGCTTGTCCACCTGTTTGGATTCTGGTGCAGAATAGATTCCCAGTACCTCATGATTGTCTCCCTGTTGGGATTCTGTTGCAGAATAGATCCCCAGTACCTCATGCTTGTCTCCCTGTGGGGATTCTGTTGCAGAATAGATCCTCAGTACCTCATGCTTGTCTCCCTGTTGGGATTCTGGTGCAGAATAGATCCCAAGCACCTCATGCTTGTCTTCCTGTGGGGATTCTGTAGCAGAATAGATCCCCAGTACCTCATGCTTGTCTCCCTGTGGGGATTCTGGTGCAGAATAGATCCCCAGTACCTCATGCTTGTCTTCCTGTGGGGATTCTGGTGCAGAATAGATCCCCAGTACCTCATGCTTGTCTTCCTGTGGGGATTCTGTTGCAGAATAGATCCCCAGTACCTCATGCTTGTCTACCTTTAGGGAGTCGAGGGCAGCATAGACCCAGTACCTCATGCTTGTATCCCTGTGGGGATTCTAGGGCGGAATAGATCCCCAGTACCTCATGCTTGTCTCCCTGTGGGGATTCTGGTGCAGAATAGATCCCCAGTACCTCATGCTTGTCTCCCTGTTGGGATTCTGTTGCAGAATAGACCCCCAGTACCTCATGCTTGTCTCCCTGTGGGGATTCTGGTGCAGAATAGATCCCCAGTACCTCATGCTTGTCTCCCTGTGGGGATTCTAGGGCGGAATAGATCCCCAGTACCTCATGCTTGTCTCCCTGTTGGGATTCTGGTGCAGAATAGATCCCCAGTACCTCATGCTTGTCTCCCTGTGGGGATTCTAGGGTGGAATAGATCCCCAGTACCTCATGCTTGTCTCCCTGTGGGTATTCTGGTGCAGAATAGATCCCCAGTACCTCATGCTTGTCTCCCTGTTGGGATTCTGGTGCAGAATAGATCCCCAGTACCTCATGCTTGTCTCCCTGTGGGGATTCTAGGGTGGAATAGATCCCCAGTACCTCATGCTTGTCTCCCTGTGGGGATTCTGGTGCAGAATAGATCCCCAGTACCTCATGCTTGTCTCCCTGTTGGGATTCTGGTGCAGAATAGATCCCCAGTACCTCATGCTTTTCTCCCTGTTTGGATTCTGGTGCAGAATAGATTCCCAGTACCTCATGATTGTCTCTCTGTTGGGATTCTGTTGCAGAATAGATCCCCAGTACCTCATGCTTGTCTCCCTGTTGGGATTCTGTTGCAGAATAGATCCTCAGTACCTCATGCTTGTCTCCCTGTGGGGATTCTGGTGCAGAATAGATCCCAAGCACCTCATGCTTGTCTTCCTGTGGGGATTCTGTTGCAGAATAGATCCCCAGTACCTCATGCTTGTCTCCCTGTGGGGATTCTGGTGCAGAATAGATCCCCAGTACCTCATGCTTGTCTTCCTGTGGGGATTCTGGTGCAGAATAGATCCCCAGTACCTCATGCTTGTCTTCCTGTGGGGATTCTGTTGCAGAATAGATCCCCAGTACCTCATGCTTGTCCACCTGTTTGGATTCTGGTGCAGAATAGATTCCCAGTACCTCATGATTGTCTCCCTGTTGGGATTCTGTTGCAGAATAGATCCCCAGTACCTCATGCTTGTCTCCCTGTGGGGATTCTGTTGCAGAATAGATCCTCAGTACCTCATGCTTGTCTCCCTGTTGGGATTCTGGTGCAGAATAGATCCCAAGCACCTCATGCTTGTCTTCCTGTGGGGATTCTGTAGCAGAATAGATCCCCAGTACCTCATGCTTGTCTCCCTGTGGGGATTCTGGTGCAGAATAGATCCCCAGTACCTCATGCTTGTCTTCCTGTGGGGATTCTGGTGCAGAATAGATCCCCAGTACCTCATGCTTGTCTTCCTGTGGGGATTCTGTTGCAGAATAGATCCCCAGTACCTCATGCTTGTCTACCTTTAGGGAGTCGAGGGCAGCATAGACCCAGTACCTCATGCTTGTATCCCTGTGGGGATTCTAGGGCGGAATAGATCCCCAGTACCTCATGCTTGTCTCCCTGTGGGGATTCTGGTGCAGAATAGATCCCCAGTACCTCATGCTTGTCTCCCTGTTGGGATTCTGTTGCAGAATAGACCCCCAGTACCTCATGCTTGTCTCCCTGTGGGGATTCTGGTGCAGAATAGATCCCCAGTACCTCATGCTTGTCTCCCTGTGGGGATTCTAGGGCGGAATAGATCCCCAGTACCTCATGCTTGTCTCCCTGTTGGGATTCTGGTGCAGAATAGATCCCCAGTACCTCATGCTTGTCTCCCTGTGGGGATTCTAGGGTGGAATAGATCCCCAGTACCTCATGCTTGTCTCCCTGTGGGGATTCTGGTGCAGAATAGATCCTCAGTACCTCATGCTTGTCTCCCTGTTGGGATTCTGGTGCAGAATAGATCCCCAGTACCTCATGCTTTTCTCCCTGTGGGGATTCTGGTGCAGAATAGATTCCCAGTACCTCATGATTGTCTCCCTGTTGGGATTCTGTTGCAGAATAGATCCCCAGTACCTCATGCTTGTCTCCCTGTGGGGATTCTGTTGCAGAATAGATCCTCAGTTCCTCATGCTTGTCTCCCTGTTGGGATTCTGGTGCAGAATAGATCCCCAGTACCTCATGCTTGTCTCCCTGTGGGGATTCTAGGGTGGAATAGATCCCCAATACCTCATGCTTGTCTCCCTGTGGGGATTCTGGTGCAGAATAGATCCCCAGTACCTCATGCTTGTCTCCCTGTTGGGATTCTGGTGCAGAATAGATCCCCAGTACCTCATGCTTTTCTCCCTGTTTGGATTCTGGTGCAGAATAGATTCCCAGTACCTCATGATTGTCTCCCTGTTGGGATTCTGTTGCAGAATAGATCCCCAGTACCTCATGCTTGTCTCCCTGTGGGGATTCTGTTGCAGAATAGATCCTCAGTACCTCATGCTTGTCTCCCTGTTGGGATTCTGGTGCAGAATAGATCCCCAGCACCTCATGCTTGTCTTCCTGTGGGGATTCTGTTGCAGAATAGATCCCCAGTACCTCATGCTTGTCTCCCTGTGGGGATTCTGGTGCAGAATAGATCCCCAGTACCTCATGCTTGTCTTCCTGTGGGGATTCTGGTGCAGAATAGATCCCCAGTACCTCATGCTTGTCTTCCTGTGGGGATTCTGTTGCAGAATAGATCCCCAGTACCTCATGCTTGTCTACCTTTAGGGAGTCGAGGGCAGCATAGACCCAGTACCTCATGCTTGTCTCCCTGTTGGGATTCTCGTGCAGAATAGATCCTCAGTACCTCATGCTTGTCTCTCTTTAGGGAGTCGAGGGCAGCATAGACCCAGTACCTCATGCTTGTCTCCCTGTTGGGATTCTGGTGCAGAATAGATCCTCAGTACCTCATGCTTGAGGGCAGCATATTCAGTACTTCTTGCTTGTCTTGCTTGATTCTAGGGCAGAATATGTCCCCATTACTCAATGTACATTCAAGTGACCCATCTGACCAAATCATCTAAGGTAGTGAAAATGTTCAGTCCAATTTGGATACAGTGTGTAAGTGATCAGAATAATTTATATAACAATATTTATCAATTCTGAATTAAATGTATTGTATCATTGACATTATTGCTTCCATGCACCAGTGTACTATAGCATAAGCCATAAGTTATGCCAGGATCAGGTGGTGGTGTTACATCAATTAGAGATTCACTGACTTGGTTGATGCATGTCATCCTGTCCCAGTTGTGTAGACCGATGCTCATCACTGGATTGACTTTATTATTTAACGACAGCCTACATATACCTGGAAGATTGCTGAATGCAGTGTTAAACAAGAAACAAACCAAAAAAAAGGCTCATTATGATCTTTGGTTTGTTGACTATGCTTGTCGTATAAGGCGACTAATGGGATCGGGTGGTCAGGCTCGCTGACTTGGTTGATGCATGTCATCAATCCCAATTGCGTGTATTGATACTCATGATGTCGATCACTGGATTGTCTGGTCCAGACTTGATTATTTACAGACCGCCGTCATATAGCTGGAATATTGCTGAGTGCGGCGTAAAACAACCAACCAACCAACCGACCTAGGTCTGTGAACATCATAGGCTTCATCATGACCTGACTCGACCCTCCCACCAAAAGTAAATATGTTGATATTTCAGCCATTTGCGGAGATTACCGACCTGACTGACGTCCAAGAAGGGATCATTGTGCGCTGTATACAGAGACTGCACGAGACGCTGCGTGACGTGCGGAACGCAGCCAGGATTATTGGGGACCCTGTGCTCTTCCAGAAGATGGAGGAGGCCTCCGCGATGATCAAGAGAGACATTGTGTTTGCTGCCAGCTTGTACACTCAGTGATGTTTCCAGAGGTTAAGGGGGCGGTGGGGTAGCCTTGTGGTTACAACGTTTACTCGTCACACCAAAGTTCTGGGGTTGATTCCCACATCGGTACAACCAAAGCATGAAGCCCATTCACTGGCTCCAGGGTGTTATAATCTTCATGGCATAAAATGTGGCTGATGCTTAGACAATGCTGACCTATGAATAATGCTGGGATTTCATCTATAGACCTTTTGTTTTTACCAGGACTGTAATTTAGAATGTTGTTGAAGTTATCTCCCTTTGTACAGCTTACTGTAATTGGCCGAGCAGTTGTCTTGTATAAAGCGTTATTCACTTGTTGGTGCTATCCCATGGTGCACTGCACAGTTATGTATATGTAACAACAAATACAGACTATGTATCTTGTTGTCTCGGTCACAAATACTGTTTCGTGAAAGTTTATGAGAATGAACAATAGCCTATCAAGCTGCGATGCCTTTTCATTCAATCTTTGAAAAATGTTGAAAAGCTTAATTAAAGTCCTGCCTCGTTCTTTCTATATATCTTTCTATCACTGATGGGTCTGAGGGTAAAATTGTACATTTTAAGTTATTTTGCTGTTTTGGGGGTAAAGTAATGATTTTAGTCATGTGTTATTAGCAATCCTTACATTAGTTTAGAGCTTATTTTGTGTTCTATTATGGTATGTATGGCCTTGAAATCTATAGTTAGAGTCTTGAAAAGACATTAAATGACCTGAATTTGGGCAACAGAAACTTAGTATGAATCAGGATATAATTTTGAAGATGTTCATGTTTGGAGAATTTATTTACAAAATAATGTGAAGCTTGTTACCTTTTTTTTATGTCTTGACGGAAGTCACTAAAATATTGTGGAGTTTCGCAATTTGTTTGGTAATATCTCATTACTTTGAGTTACAAAAACCTAAACATTGTTATACATGTTGTAAGAGAGTTTGGATGTGTGGATGTTTTAGATAAAACAAGAAGCATTTCCTTATGCGAAAAACACCAAAGTCAGTAATAAGTTCCCCTTTTTTTCGATCACAAAAGCCACCAATATTAAAGATCCTCAATTGAGTAAGATTAATAGCTGAAAGATGTCAGACTGATAAATGTGCTTTCTCTTCCCCCCTTTTTTTTAAAACATACTTAAGTACAAGAGCAGGTAAGTCGTCCTGTGCTGTGTGATATATGTCGCTCGTCCCTGTGTACTTCACTGTGATATCGATGTGATGGTCCAACATTGTAACACTTGTGTACTGAATGTGTACACCAGGGAATAAATGTCATAACGTCTGTTGTTGTTGTCTGTGGCTGGAGGATAACTACAAACAAGTGCTTCACAACAGTTTATTGCCACAATGGCGGAAGAAATGGAATGAACATGATTGTATATGTGTGTATATACTACTGAGGAATAACTTTCTATACATCCCGGTTTTCCCGATATATACACATTCTTGTCTCCCAGTAGGGATTCTAGGGAAAAATAGGTCCCCACTACCTGTGTTTGTCTCCTCATAGAGATTCCGGGGTAGAATAGGTCCCCACTACACATGTTTGTCTCCAAAGAGGGATTCCAGGGTAGAATAAGTCCCCACTAGCCATGTTTGTCTCCCCATAGAGATTCCGGAGTAGAATAGGTCCCCACAACCCATGTTCGTCTCCCCATAGAGATTCCGGAGTAGAATAGGTCCCCACTACCCATGTTTGTCTCCCCATAGAGATTCCGGAGTAGAATAGGTCCCCACTACCCATGTTTGTCTCCCCATAGAGATTCCGGAGTAGAATAGGTCCCCACTACCCATGTTTGTCTCCCCATAGAGATTCCGGAGTAGAATAGGTCCCCACTACCCATGTTTGTCTCCCCATAGAGATTCCGGGGTAGAATAGGTCCCCACTACCCATGTTTGGTTCCATAGAGATTCCGGAGTAGAATAGGTCCCAAATACCCATGTTTGTCTCCCCATAGAGATTCCAGAGTAGAATAGGTCCCCACTACCCATGTTTGTCTCCATAGAGATTCCGGGGTAGAATAGGTCCCCACTACCCATGTTTGGTTCCATAGAGATTCCGGAGTAGAATAGGTCCCCACTACCCATGTTTGTCTCCATAGAGATTCCAGAGTAGAATAGGTCCCCACTACCCATGTTTGTCTCCATAGAGATTCCAGAGTAGAATAGGTCCCCACTACCCATGTTTGTCTGAATAGAGATTCCGGGGTAGAATAGGTCCCCACTACCCATGTTTGTCTGAATAGAGATTCCGGAGTAGAATAGGTACCCACTACCCATGAATGAGGACCGGGTGGTTACAATACGTGACCATACTGATTCTGTTTCATGCCTTAATGCTGTGATCGTTTATCGTAGTACCAAACACCGGGGTCTGTCTGATTCAGAGATGATTGGTAAGTTGCAGCTGCAGTGACAACCTGTGATGGTGCTGACTGTGCCTTAAAACAACATTCACTCACTCCATGACTTGAGTGTATTGAATATCATTAAACAGGGAACATTAGAAACAAATCTCTCTGGGAACTTCCTTGCATGGGGAACTTGAATGATGGAACAAAAATGGGCCAAGTTGGCAATAGTATATTCTAATCATCCTCAAACAATGTTTCAACAATCATTTGTTGGATTTTAATTTTTAAAAGTTCTTTTCTCTTACCATCCCTCAGACGTTTCAACTGATAACATATTAATTTTGCAAAGATATCATCTTCTACGTCAGTATGTGCCATGTCGGGTTGAAAAAGTACAGTCGGACTGGCATAGGAGGTGGTGGGCGTGGCATGTGGACTGGGTGTAGTATGATGACTGATGAGACGTTGCGGGACTGGATGGGGTACGCTAGGGGATGCTGGTATAGATGGCACCACTTGACGATGACTTGACGGTTCTGAGTCCGAACGATTTTCCGCCTCATAGACATACATCTCAGGTTCACGTTTGATAAGTTTCCGCGGAACTGCCTCATCGTCCCAATCCACAAAGTAATGGTTGCCATGGCGATTGTCCTGATTGGCTTCTGGACTGTCCAGCTTGCTTCCCTCTGACTGGTCATCTGCATCTTCAAATATGTGCTCGATGCTGTCACTGTCCAGGTTTACTCTCATCACTCCGGGAGAGTCTGTATTGAGGCTTTCCTGAAAGAAGATGTCCAACACAACAATCAGCAAAGTTAGTTTTCCCCAACCTCCTGTTCTTTGTTCTTGCATCCATTCTTAGTAGGGCCATGGGCCCCATTCCACAAACCTTTCATAGAGTTACACAGTCGTAAGTCTAGCTTAAAGTATCTGTGTTATCATGGATATGATCACCTTAGAGTTACGATCGCTTTGTGGAATGGATCCCTGTTGTTCAGAGCTCCAGATAACTTTTTGAGCAATAGAGATTGTTTTACTCTAGGGTTTCTATTTTAATTGGGTGATTACATTTTTCATTGGGTAACCAATATTTTTTCACTCATCTATTCATCACTCTATTGGTTTTTTCCCCAAAAAGAGTGAATATTTTAAGATTCCCCAAAAATTAAATAATGTTTTAGATGTATAAAACTGTTCTTAATATATAGGCTTGACTCGGAAAGTAAATTATCTCGTAATTGAGTTTCGGAAATTAGCTCCTTTGTACGCATGCTCTGAAATAGCTTCATTGTATTTACGCCAGTTGTTTTTTATAACTTGAGTTTTTCATTTAATGCATGTATTTCTGTACTTTTAAATATTTTGGGGGAGTATTTTATGCAAATAAGCTGCTTATCTGTAGCTCTGGTTGTTGTAACTTTATGTTAAACTATGGGAGTTACGATCACATTAGCGCTATGATCGCTTTGCTGAATGGATCCCAGATTTACTGTGCGAGGCTTCTTATGCTTACTAGAATCTGATAATTGTGGGTTTGAATCCAGATTGCCCAAAGTATGATTCTTGGTTTATCTGCACTACTTCAGCTTCTCTCACACAATAAGCCGACACACCAAGATATAACTCTAATATTGTTCAAAGGGCCATAAACTCACTCTCTCAATCACTTGTCTTTGCACTTTCAGTTTCTGGTTAGTGAGTGAGTATGGTTTTATGCCACTTTTAGCAATATTCCAGCAATATCACAGCGGGGGACACCAGAAATGGGCTTCACACATTTTACCCATGTCCGGAATCAAACACAGGTCTTTGGCGTGACAGGCGAACACTTTAACCACTAGGCTACCCGACCGCAGCCACTTAGTGATTGAGTGGGTAGACTTGTGGTAAAAGTGATTACTCGTCACACCTAAGGACAGGGTTCCATTCATGGGTACAATGTGTGAAGCCCATTTCAGGTGTCCCTTGCTGTGATCATTGTGGTGATATTGTTAAAAGCGGCATAAAACCCAACTCGCTCGCTCATGCTGATTTGTGTGAAAAAGGATGTTAGGATAAAACACTAAGTTATTCCTAAACACACCATCTTGTATCTTTGGCCTGACAAAACACACTCATGAATATTTATTGAAAGGTGAGGATCCTCCATTTTGCATCCTTGTGATGAGAGAATCACAGTCAAGCAAGTCTTTTTTGACTTGGTAGACCTGGATTGTTAGTGGATGTACCCTTGAAGGGGATGAAGAAGTGTAAAATGATTGTCCCCCAGAGAGGGTATGTAAGACCACGTCCTTCAAAGTAACTTTTCTCTGCCACATTTTTAATCGCAGAATATGTGTTCATTTAACTTGGCTAAATATAACAATAACTGCCAACACCTGAAGGGATGATGTAAGTCCAGCTGGGGTCCATGCAGGTAGCAAAAGTACTGTAAGTCCCCATGGTCCCCAGTATTGTGATCTACCTTCAGCTGCTGGCGATCTATAACCCTTTTTTATTATGTATTACATATAGTGATATCTTTTTATGGTTGTATGCTAGTTCTAAATATTAATCTGTGATATTCTTGTTATTTTATCGTTCAATTTAATCTAAATTTATGTATTCTTAATGTATAACTTCTCATCACAATATGGCTGAAATATTGCCGATGTGACGAAATATTAACTCACTCACCTGACAAAATAACCAATCAAACTGCTTTATCTTTCATAATCAGTTGATAATGAGTAGTAAGAGATTCCTAACACCTCACCATTTTGGTATGGACTTTCTTTGCTGTCCGGACTTGCATTCTGAGGAAGTTGTCAAGCATATCGTAGTACGGCCATTTGGACTTGTATGTGTCCTCTGTGTCGCCCTTCATCCGACTGTGGACCTGACTCACCAGTTCCTTGTTCAGTTCCTTCGTGTAGTATGTCCGCAGGTTGGCAAACTTCTTGATAACGGCATGATCTGGAGAAAATTAGATAGGATCATGAAAATATAGCATAGCTATTGAATTCCGGAATCCAGATCTTTAGGCTAACAGGAAAATACTACTCAACATTTGCGAAGGAACACACCTTTGACAGAGATGACATCAGGGTATCACTGGGGAGTTTTATTATATAAAGTTTCTTTTGTTAAATGTATGCAACAGCTAGGTATGCGGCTGAACAATTCAATGCCCCTCGTTCATGACAACCAATTATTAGTCAATCAATGGATTCATGGTTGGAATTTTTGAAGGTGAAACACATGTTGGTTTTTCCTAACATGTATATAAGTCGGCGACTTTAGCCTCTAGTTCGAAGCTCTAGCCTATTGTAATGAACTTTTTGCAACCCTCAAAGGACCACCCTCGTTATCGTTCTGGTGCAGTGTGAGATAAGCATTCTCCAACCTTAAGAGTACTGAAAGTATTTTTCTTTACTTGTGTTTTTGTGTTGTGGTGTCTTCTGTTATAGAATGGTATTTCCAAATGCTGATTCGGACAGCTCACTTCGGTGAGTCCTACCAGGATGCCTATGTTACACTATACATAGTCTAGTTTGATAGTTTTAACTCCACACAATATTTCAACTATACGACAGCTGCCTGTAAATTACAGAATATGGACCGGACAATCCATGCAGATATTGATATCAAATGATTCACGGTGTCGGGGTACAATGACAAGCAATCAACCAAGTCATTGAGTCTGACCACCCAATCCATTTTGTCTATACAAAGACGTATATAGACACGTCTTTGGACTATAGAAGTCTTGTAGCAATTGATGTAAGTAAGCAGATAATCCCCCGAAACAAACCACATCTGTTTTATTATCATCAGGGCGGTCGGGTAGCCTGGTGGTTAAAGCGTCCGCTCTTTACGCCGAAGACCCGGGTTTGATTCCCGGCATGGGTGCAATATGTGAAGCCCATTTCTGGTGTACCCCTCCGTGATATTACTGAAATATTGCTAAAAGCGGCATAAAACCATATTCTCACTCAAATCATCATCATCAAATGTATCATGTTTATCTACATAAGTTAATTAACTTGTCAAAAATCAAAATCTTTTAAGAAAGTATTTTAAAAAAAGTGTCAAAATACTCAACTGTAGACATGGTAAAAAAATCTTCCAGATATTTTACATGTTGGTTTTATCAGATTTGCAAGAGACAATATCTAAAACGTTTACAATCAATCCACACATTTATCACAAGGTTATGAAAACACGCACCTGTCCAGTTCATTTGCTGGCCAATATCTTTGACCACCTCGCTCTTAAAGCTCCTGTCTCGGTAATGCTGACTCCTGGCATCCCACAACGCTGGCTGCGCCGAGATCAGACGGATCAACTTCATGTTGGTCTCGCGCTCCTCTCTGTCAATATCCATTGCGGTCGCCATGTCTACCCTTGACAGAAACTACATGTATTTCACATGTATATTTGTGCGGCCAAGCCAGCACCTGAAATGCGGTTTTGAACAGGATTTAAAACTATACGTGGATCTTTACAGACAAATCGGCAGACACAAAATGGCGGCTCGCAATGTCTGTGTGAAGGCAAATTAGAGTCTATTTTTAGCAGACACGGCCCAGCTTGTCTGCAGAGTGTCTGTATCTGGGTCAACTGCTGCAGATGTCAGCGCGTGGAGCGGGATTATCTGCTGGTGGAAGGCAGGTGGATATTAGCGAAAAAATTAAGGTTGTCGTTCTTAGCCTATGATTGCCGGGGTTCATTTCCGAATATGGGGAAATCATATACATGGAATTTTAGGTCGAATTAATACAATTTTAAAGTATAACTATGTGAAACAACCCTGTTTTAGCTATATACAGTGCCTACGTTTAATTAATACAAGTTTGAACTATAACGTTGTGAAACAACCCTGTTTTAGCTACATACAGTGCCTACGTTTAATTAATACAAGTCTGAACTATAATTATGTGATACAACAAGGTTTAAGCTATATACAGTGCCTGCGTCCTATTAATACAATTCTAAAGTATAGCTTTGTTTTACAGTCATTACTTAGAGGTTGACGCGGATGACAAAGTAGACACACTTTATGCATAACAACTTCTTTAATTACTGGAAAGGCCGTTTAAGCTATATAGAGCCCATACGTCGAATTAGTACAATTTTAAAGTATAATGATGTGAAACAATGTCTAAGCTACATACAGCGCATATGTCGAGTAAATTCAATTAGCGCCTATGTCGAATTAATTCAATTTTAAAGTATAACATGATGTGAAACAACAATGTTTATAAACATGTACAGCACCTTACTTTGTAAGCAGGCAGTATCAATGTTTCCTTAATTTAGATACAAAATACTCATTCAACCAATGCATTCACTCCATATCTCCGCTATAACCAACGAGTTCAGAGGAGATACATTTACTGAATACGACATTTGAAACTTTGCTAGGGATTATTAAAATCTGAAATGAATGGAAGTGTGTGTAACAATCTGATTGGTTTACAAACGTTGTTTCTGGCATACTCGATTCTGATTGGTATATATCCCACTCAATCAGTTTTATTCAGTACACAAAAGGCCACAGGCCTATAGTACAATGCGTATTTACATGTAGGTGACGTGGTTGTTAACTAACAATTCTGTTTCTATGTAACATCGCGTGATAAACATATGTTGACAGGTTACATAACATAGTATCATTAGATGAAGTTTAAAGATCTACAAACTTATGGACATTCGACAGAGTAGAAAGATGGCAAATATTTATCATGTAAATGTTTGTAAGCTTGACATACCAGGAGAAAGTGAAACTCATCTTCCATTGAAGTTGTGTTACACAATGTGCATATTCTGTCTCTTCTATCAGTGTGATTATATCTACCAGTCTCTATATACAGGTTGTGAGAGGAACATCTAAATCGTGCTAGTGCCATTCTAAATTTTTTAAACTCAAGTTTACAGAGGTACGCCTCAATTTCAATATTACTTTTCATGATTCTACAATATAAACATTTATTTGATTTGGACATTAATTTTAACCATTTCTGCAAATACATATCTTGGTGAAGGACATTAAAAAGAGCGGTTCTGATTCTACACACTGAGATTGGTATATATCAGAGGTTTCAAATCACAATCACTTATGGAACATTCCTCCTGTCAAGAACCGTGAAGATCCGGGTCGAGAATAGGCCTTCAGCACCTCAGTTTACCATAAGAGGGTGTGTGTTTGTTGTTTAACGCCACACTCAGCATTATTCCATCTATATGACGGCGGTCTGTAACTAATCGAGTCTGGACCAGATAATCCAGTGATTGACATCATTAGCATCGATCTACGCAATTGGGATATGATTGTAGTAGCATATCTATATAGTTATGCAAAACAATATGTAAAGCGCCCCCAAATACTTGCATTAGTCCGTTCTGTTCTGATTTCTGAAAAAAGCGCGTTTGTTTACAAATAAGAGAAAGGTCCGTCACGTGATAAGCAAATTAGCCCGTGGCAGTGTTGTTATGCCAAGTCACCACTGCGCAAGAGTATGGACGTTAACCTTTTGACGACGTTACGTTATCAGTTTGTGACGGCCCAGTCGTCTAAGGCGCCGCAATTCGCTGTGCAGAGTTGCGTCCCTTGGGCACACCAGAAACCTATGATTGTGGGTTCGAATCCCGGTTCGCCCCGATTATGTTTCGAGTTTTGTCAGCACCATACCCGTGCTCGTGGGTTTCACCGAAGTGGTAAACGTCTGAGACCTGCATCACTTCGGGCTTTCCTCCCACATTAAGCTGACACGTCGTGATATGACTGGAATACTTTTAAAAGCGGTGTTAAACCCAACTCATTTACTCACTGTAAGGATCAGACGACCACCTTGATCAAGTTGTGAAAGGAGGATAACTCCTGCTGTAGCTTTGTCTATCAATTATATGTTTTTTATTTGTCTTCCAGTCAATTCGTGTCCCACGCCCGGTGATGACACCGCCGTTATTTGTGTTGACAAAGGAGGGCATTCTTGTGAATTTTAACTCTTTGAAATGCTGAATGCTTACAACTTTACACATGCTAATACCATGCAAAAGATTCATAATGGGGGATAAAAATGAAACCTCGACTATTGAATTTCAATCTGTTGATTATTTTTATCGAACACTCACTGTATACTCGTTGTGCAGTGGCAACGCCAACCCATTCAAAGACCTTACTGTGTGTTTGTGCGTTCCGATACTTGTGTGAGATCGAAATGTCGGCACCTTTTTCCTTACGGTTGTATTTTAATATGACCAGAAACCTTCTCAGTAAAATGAATACTGGCTGTCCTTTATCGTGCTGTTGTGTAACACCACACTGAAGTGACAAGTTGACTCTCTATATACAGTAGTGGTATTAGTAGTTGGAGCATAGTCCTGCACCATGACCGTGGAATATATTTATTTTATGAAAAAATAATAATCTAGAAATGCATACAAAAGCAAGTCTAGCCAGCTCAAGCTAGCTCTATTCCACATAGGGAATTGTTTTTATTTTTAGAGTCAAGAAGGATATTGTGTAATATAAGATTTCAGAGACTAAATGTTAGTCTAGTTGGAGTAGTCCTGCACCATGACCGTGGAATATATTTATTTTATGAAAAAATAATAATCTAGAAATGCATACACAAGCAAGTCTAGCCAGCTCAAGCTAGTCAGCATAGGGAATTTTTTTTATTTTTAGAGTCAAGAAGGATATTGTGTAATATAAGATTTCAGAGACTAAATGTTAGTCTAGTTGGAGCAATGTTTGTAGTAGTAGCTGTAGTGGTAGGTGTTGTGGTTGTCATGGTTGTTGATTATTAGATTGTTGTGTAGTAGATGGGGTTGTTGTTGTTGTTGTTGTTGTAATACAAGTTTGTTGTAATTATTGTAGTAGTGCCAGTTGTAATAGTCCTGTGAATACCCCAGTTCATCAAACGAAAGTAACAAGTGTCCTTTCTTTAAATTTCCACGCGAAAAGGGCGATTTAACGAGGAGGAAAGTTTGGATACAGCAGAGACCAAATACCGATATATGGTCTCTGGATACAGCGATGTCAGCGTGGAGAAAAGAAATGGAAATCGACTGGAAGTGCAATTATGTGTTCCTTGCATTCTGAGGCATCTGTCTTTGAGAGAGATCCACACAAACTTAGTTTCGAAAATTATTTTTGCATTCATCGTTGAAAATAATCCATCGTACAACAATTTCTTGCATATGGATCAGATTACACGCTAATGCAATATATTTGGCAGTTTTTGCGCAGATACATTCACGTATTCAGTCCATGGTCTTGCATACTTGAAACCCCTGTATATGTTCAGGAACGGATTCGCTTTTTTTATTCATAAAACATGCAAGATGAACCTCACTACATTTTCAGGACGTCTTTGGTAAACAAGACTTGAAGTTGACAGGGTATGAAACTCCCAAAAATTTCAGCCAGACCACAGGACTGGCTAGCTGAAATACTTGCCAGCCCTGACCAAAACCTGCCTGCCCACTATAATCATATGTTTCTCAGGATAATTTAATTAAAAATATGAAAACTGATTGCTTGTAGCATAAGCGCATCGCTAAATGTTAGGTTGTCTAAAAGCTAACGGGGTTACATTTTTTGGTTACATTTTATCATTCATCTTTACATCTGAATTAATGCTTATCATCGGGAAATATTTAGAATATTTTCACCTATGAAATATAACCCGACCTTCGGGCAGGGGGATTTGAAAATCTCTCAGCCCGAGTTGAAATCAACCCGTCTCGGACGGTCGGGCAGGCAGGTATTTCTAACACTGAAGTTGAGAATCCTCTGCCTGCACAGTATCACTAAGCCCTGAAATTACAATCATAGGTTTCTGGCGTGCCCAAGGGACGCAACTCTGCACAGCGAATCGTGGCGCCTAAGACGACTGGGCCACCTGTAACCCCCGACCCTTACAGAAGAAGGCGAAGCTGCTGAAGTTTCTAAGATAAGATATTTGTTTTAAAGATTAGACTGTAAAAGTAATGATACAACCTTTGCTTTTTACTATTTTCCTGTGGTTTCTGCCCAGACAATCGATCCATGATGATCAATTATTACAGTTGTGAAGGGACGGAGCTTTTTTAAAACTATGTAGTTTCACATGCAAAGGTAATTATCAAAGTACATGTTTCTCACAGGTTTGAAATGTGAATGACAATCACCAGCTATTTTCAAAGTACATGTTTCTCACAGGTTTGAAATGTGAATGACAATCATCAGCTATTTTCAAAGTACATGTTTCCCACAGGTTTGAAATGTGAATGACAATCACCAGCAAACAAAAACTCTCAAGATTGCATTCATTGTTGAACGCATTACATTAATGCCATTTCTGGTTAAGGGGTTATGAAGAATAATTTACTAGTAAAACATCTCTTAAAATAAGCAACATTAACTCAATGCATTTAGATTCTGCTCACAATTTTGAAATGTAATGTACAATCATCAGCCAAATGAAATGTGAAGCTTCTATTTATTGTAGATTTTAAAGGGGTTATCCCACTTCTGGCCAAGGGGATATGAGTAATAATATAGTAAAAATATTTTGAAATTAGCTATTTGCATTCATATTCTGCTTAAACGTCAAAACATGGCTGCTTTGTTT